CCCAGGTTCAAGTGATTCTCCTGCCTCAGCTTCCTGAGTAGCTGAGATTACAGGCACCTGCTGCCACGCCCGGCTAATTTTTGTATTTTTAGTAGAGATGGGGTTTCATCATATTGGTCAGGCTGGTTTTGAATTCCTGACCTCATGATCCACCTGCCTCTGCCTCCCAAAGTGCTGGGATTATAGGCGTGAGCCACTGTGCCTGTCCTGAAAAAACTTTCAATTTCAATTTTAAATAAAATAATTAAAAGTAATCTGAAAGTATTAGAGATTAACCATGTTCTTTATTCATATCAGTAAATGTTAATATAATACCCTCTTTTATATTGCCAAGTCATTTACTTCCTGGTTTATACAGATGGAACTCTCTGAAATTAAGCTCTATTAAAAATCTTTTGGCTCATTAGTTCTTTGAGGTTGGTTTTGTTAAAAGATAACTATTCAAATAGGTGAAATTGTGAATTGTTTAGATATAAAATGAACATGTGTTAGAGATTTTATTCTACTAATTAATCACTGAAGGAACTAGATTATAATTATCCTACAAGAAAACTTGAAGAAGAGGCACATTCATAGGTTAAAAAATATATTGAAATGAGTGTGCAAATAGAGGCAAAACTGGGTTTCCAGTGAGGAAAGGAGCGAGTTCAGTTGAAACTCTAGCAGACAGGAGAATTTACATGTCTATAGACAATAATTATTTTACGTTTTTATCATTTTTATAACCTATAACTTATAGAGTTGTAAAAATAGCTCAAATACAAGAACGACTAGAGTCGGATAACCTGGAGGGGTATCCAGTAGATAATGTTTTTTATTTATTTTTATCTTCTTTTAATTTTTTGAGACAGGGTCTTACTTTGTCACCCAGGCTGAAGTGGAGCGGCATCATCTCAGCTCACTGCAGCCTTGACCTCCTGGGCTCAAGCAGTCCTCCCAACTCAGCCCCACAAGGTAGCTGGGACTACAGGCACGTGCCGCCATACCCGGCTGATTTTTATATTTTTGGTAGAGATGGGATTTTGCCATGTTGCCCAGGTTGGTCTCAAACTCCTGAGCTCAAGCGATCTGCCTGCCTTGGCCTCCCAAAATGCTAGGATTACATATGTGAGCCACCTTGCCCCACCGATAACATGCTGCTTTCCACTGAAATACAAAGTTTCCTCTAAAGTACATTAGATTTGTAGACAATTTCTGAATAACTGTTCATAAAAATTAGATGCATAGCATAATAAGAAATCATTTACTCAAGCCCAATACACTGTGCACAACTGTTATCCCAATTACTTGGGAGGTGGAGGTAGGAGAATTGCTTGAGCCTACATGTTAGAGACCAGCCTGGGCAACACAGTGAGAACCCATCTCTTAAAACAAAAAGAAAAGAAACATTATTTCATTCTGATGCAGTGCAAAGTTTGGAATTGATGACAGAAACTAAGATCTCTACTCTCACCAAAAAAATATGTAAAATAGTTCAATTAGGTAAAGGTATCTAGAAAATTCAGTGGGGAAAGAATAGTATTTTCAACAAATGGTGTTAGGACAACTGGATATTTACATGCAAAAGAATGAATTTAGACCCCTATCTCATACCTTATTTTTAGAAAATTAACTCAAAATGGACCAACGATCTCAATATATGAGTTAAAACTATAAAAGATATGGAAGAAAACTCTGCATAAATCTTTGTAAACTTGGGCTAGGCAATTATTTCTTAGTACATCAAAAGCATAGCTATAAAATAGAAAAATGATAAATTTGAATTAATCAAAAGTAGAAACTTTTGTATTTCAGATGACGACATCAAAAAAGTAAAGCTTTCTTGAGGGAATAAATATACCATAAAATGGGATAAATACACCATAAATATTGTATACTGAATATATAAATAACTCTTACAACTTACTAATAAAAAGACTACCCAACTCAAACATGGGCAAAGGATCTGAATAGAATTTCTCCAAAGATCCAGAAGAATGGCCAAGAAGCACATGAAAAGATGCTTAGCACCATTAATCTTTAGGGAAATGCAAGTCAAAACCACAATGAGATACCACTTCACATCTACTAGATGGCTAGAATAAAAACTTAAAACAGATAATAAGTGTTAGTAAGAATGCAGAGAAATTGGAACTCTCATACACTGCTGGTGGGAATGTGAGATGTTGCAGCCACTTTGGTTTGTTTTTGTTTTTTGTTTTTTGAGAGACAGGGTCTTGTTCCGCACCCAGGTCAAAATGCCACAGTTCAGCATGGCTTACTGCAGACTTAAACTGCTGTGCTCCAGTGATTCTGTCACCTCAGCCTCCGGAGTAGCTGGGACCACAATGCCCAGCTAATTTTTTTATTTTTATTTTTGTAGAGATGGAGTCTCACCCTGTTGCCCAGCCTGGTCTCAAACTCCTGGGCTTAAAGAATCCTCCCGCTTTGGCCTCCTAAAATGCTGGGATTATAGGTGTGAACAATTATGGCTGGCCCCAGTGTAGCTGTTTTGGAAGACAGTCTTGCATTTCCTCAAAATGTTAAATGCAGAGTTACCATGTGACCCAGGAATTCCACTTTTGGGTATTTACACAAGAGAAAGAAAACATGTCCATATAGAAACTTGTACATGAATATTCATAACAGTTACTATGCATAAAATAGTGCTGTCGAATAGGACATCTAGGAAAAATAAATCAAGATCAGATTTGTAGAGGATAAAGGACATTTTTTTGCAACTGTGTTTTCCAGTGGACAAGACTAGAGAAATCACCTAAAACAAGTCGTTTTAAAATAAATGAGTAGAGAACATAGAAACAAGAGCCATTTGAAACTTTTACTGATGAGGCCCAGGTTAACTTGAAGGCTGAAATGGGTGATGCCGTGCTCATGGCTTCCCATAGAGGATTCATTTTTCTTTGGAGGGGTTTGTCAGAGAGGACCTTGTGTCCTGATGACTTAGTGAGGAGTTTTGTGCTGGAGGTTGTGGGTGGATTTCTGAATAGTGAAGGGAAGAATCGGCATGTGATTCCAGCCTGGAGAGGCAGCATGGTGGAAAAGTGAATGTTTTAGAGAAGAGCAGGATGAGGGTTTTCTTCCCCTTCAGCCATTTCTGGCTTAGTGACCTTGGCCCAAAGTGCCTTAATTTCTTTGACCACTGTCTACCTTCATTCTCTATTTCAACTTGGCAATAATTTTTCAGGACTTGATAAAACTAAAAAAAAAAAAAAAAAAAATTCAATTCAATTCATCCTATGGGATTTGCAAAGACCCCAGTATAAAATGTTATGGACACATAACATTACTGCAGCCCTGGTTTGCAGTAATTCTGAATTTCATGCTATTCTTAGAGAGCACAGATTCAATGAACAGCTTAATCCGTAGCACTCACTTCACAAATCCGGATACCTGAAAATTCAATTCAATTAAACATCTTTAAATCATATAGTAGACCCACTACCTGATTTTTAAAATGTTGGTCAATTGGTTTCCCTTAGTTTGATCAATACAGCTTAATTTCATCATTTCGTCTTTTTTTTTTTTTTTTTGCCCTGGTTCTGGAAATTTAGTTGCAGAAGGTTTCACCAGTTGCCTAGCAAATATCTGGAACCCAGTGGGGGCTCAGTTACTATTAGCAGTGATATAAATGATCACACTTCCAAGCACAAAATGTATGCCATATCCTTACTGACTTTTCTCAACTGTAGAAAAGAGTAGTTGTTTCTTCAATTAGCACCAATGGCCCCCTCTCTGATTTACATTTGAATTATAGCTTTTCTTTCTGTGGGTTTCTCACTGCACATGGCCCCTGTGGGTCTTCTATATTCTTAGTCTAAGAGTTTTACTTTCCTGGCCCCACACAGTTATTGATTAAAAGTCTCAGAAGATATTTTATTATCATAATATGAGACTTTGGCACAAACTGTTTAGTTCAAAAACTTTAACGTGGCTAATTCTGTAACTTTAAGTTATCGGTTATACATAATGAATAAAATGATTAAAGATTACTTACTCTAGAAGCCTGTTTACTATTGAATTATTTGATTGTCTTCAATTGTTGCTTTAGTGATTGTCTTAGCTTGTGCTGCTGTAACAAAATACCATTGTAGTAGTCCATTCTTACACTGCTATAAAGACATACCCAAGACTGGTTAATTAATAAAGGAAAGAGGTTTAATTAACTCACAGTTCCGCATGGCTGGGGAGGCCCCAGGGAACTTACAGTCATGGCAGCAGGTAAGAGAGCAAGCAGGGGAAATGCCAGATGCTTATAAAACCACCAGATCTCGTGAGAACTCACTATCACAAGAACAGCATGGAGGAAACCGTTCCCATGATCCAGTTACCTCCATCTGGTCTCTCCCTTGACACGTGGGGATTATAATTCAAGATGAGATTTGGGTGGGGGCACAAAGCCTAGCCATACCAACCAAGAACTGGGTGGCTTAAACAACAGACATTTATATCTCAGAGTACTACAGTTTGGAGGTCTGAGATCAGGATGCCAGCAGGGTTGGGTTCTTGGTGAGGGTTTCGTGATTTATAGGTAGTCATCTTTTTGCTGTGTCCTTACAAGGAGGAGAGAGAACTAGCTAGCTCTCTCTCCTCTACGTGTAAGGGCACCAATCCTATTTATGAAGGCTTTACCCTCAAATCTAATTACTTCCCAAAGGCCCTACCTCCAAATACTATCACATTGAGGGTTAGGATTTCAACAAATGAATTTTGGGGGGTGGAAGGAGGTGTGGGGCAGAAACATTCAGTCCATTGAACTCATCAGTTTAGGGGCTACTATAATTACTTTCTCATTCTTTGAGTGTTTGTGTATGTTCACCTATACTAATTGTCCAACCCACAGTTGCCTTATATTTCTAATAGACAGCAAAGAGAGTGCTTGAGAGAGATGGTCTAGAGTTCCAGAGTTTTGCAATATTATTCATGGTTTTTCAAACATTACTGAAGCTAATTTATGAAAAAGGTTGGTAACACTGAGTTGCTTGAAGAGTTGAACTGTTTTTTTTTTTTTAATAACAATTTATCCTTGTAATTGATCCCATAGGTTCTAATGCCTTCCCATAGTCTTCCTCCAGCAAGCCTGGAGCTCAGCTCAGCCACCGTGAAGAAAAGCCCAGTGCTCACAGTCACCCTGGGGAGTACAGAGCACAGCATCCCAACACCTCCCACTAGCACAGCCTCCTCTGGGTCCACCCCATCTGAGCTACCCATATCTCCTACCACTGCTCCCAGGACAGGTAACTCTTAAAAAATACAATTTCAAGAAATGCACTGAAGATAGGCTGTAGAATTTGGTAGTGACAACTTTTAAAGTTTACTCATTCCCTCCAGGCACATTTTTGAGCATCTATCATGTGCCAGAAACGGTTCTGCATACTGGGAATAAAAAGATGAATAAGACATTGTCTTTTCCCTCCGGGACTCCATAGTCCAAGAGAGGAGACTGACAGGTAAAGAGGTGGTTCTGATACAATATGGTAAGTGCTGTGAGAGGTTGCTGTGGGAGCAGAGGGGCACCCTGATCCACTAGGAGGGTCCAGGGATGCCTTTCCAGTAGGAGACGATGCTAGGATAGAGTGAGCCAGCAAAGATGGCATTGGTCTGTTGTTCAGGTGGAGGGAGCAACATGTGTAATAACAATAGTGATCATTGTATCTACTGAGCACTTACAGAGTGCCAGGCAATATGCTCAGTGCTTCCCAACCGTCATCTCTCATTCATTGCCTGTGCAAGAAAACAGAAGTACAAGAGCTCCTGGGACATTTCGGAAGAACTGTAAGGAATTCAGTATGGCTGGAACTGGATTGATAAGCAGGACAAGAACTGGAAAGATCATGTATTTTGTGCTAAAGATTCTGCACTTTACTGGATGGGTATAGAGACTCCCTGAATGGTTTTAAGCAGGAAAGCAAAATGATCAGATTTGTATTAAGAAATAGTGTGGGATGAGCGCGGTGGCTCACACCTGTAATCCCAGCCCTTTGGGAAGCCCAGGCAAGTAGATCATGAGGTCAGGAGTCCGAGACCAGCCTGGCCAACATGGTGAAACCCCATCTCTACTGAAAATACAAAACAATTAGCTGGGCATGGTGGCACACACCTGTAATCCCAGCTACTTGGGAGGTTGAGGCAGGAGAATTGCTTGAACCTGGGAGGCAGAGGTTGCAGTTAGCTGAGATCACTCCACTGCACTCCAGCTTGGGCAACAGAGCAAAACGGTCTTGAAAAAACTAAAAAACGAATAAAAAGGGGCTGGGCGCAGTGGCTCATGCCTGTAATCCCAGCACTTTGGGAGGCTGAGGTGGGAGGATCCTGAGGTCAGGAGATCGAGACCATCCTGGCTAACACTGTGAAACCCCATCTCTACTAAAAATACAAAAAATTAGCCAGACATGGTGGTGGGCGCCTGTAGTCCCAGTTACTCGGGAGGCTGAGGCAGGAGAATGGCGTGAACCCAGGAGGTGGAGCTTGCAGTGAGCCGAGATTGCGCCACTGCACTCCAGCCTGGGCGACAGAGCAAGACTCCATCCCAAGAAAAAAAAAAAAAAGGGGAAAAAAAAGAAAATAGTGTGGAGTTGACGAGAGGCAACAAGATCCATGAAGGCTATGGTGAGTGATTACAGAGATGGAGGGAAGGAACCAGATTTAGGAGACAGGAAGGGAGCAGATTCACAAGGATTTGATGAGTGATTGAATGAATGTAAGGATGTAAAGGAAGAGGACGCTAAGACATATGAAAATACAGAATTAAAATTAGATGAGCGGTTGGGCTGAAGATAAAGGATTGCGAGTCATCAGTGTGGAGGTGATAGTTGGAGACATGGGGAACATGGGAGATCAGCCAGGGAGAGAGGGGGGTGAGCTGAGGAGAGGCCTGAGGACTGGAACTTTGGGGACATCATTATGTAAGGAGCTGGAAGTGCAGAAGGAGCCTGCAAAACTGATTGGGTAGTTGTGCCAGAGAGGTGGGAGATAAAGAGGAAAGCTAGAGCGAGAGAGTTCTATCGAGGAGGAGGGAATAATTTTCCATCTACCCTTCTAAGTTCTAGGCTAGTGCCCCTGTAACAAAAGATAGATTCACAAGAGAAACAAAAACAAAAACAAAAAGTTTATAACTACATCTTACCTACATGTGCGAGATACCCAGGGAAATGAGGAAATCTCAAAGAGGTTTATTACATTATATAAGCTTATATTATATAAGCCTGGAACTCTGGCTTATATAGCATCTTGAACTAAAACAAGGAAAGAAGGTTGTGGGGAAGGCAAGTGGCCAAAGGTGCCCAGAATAAGTAAAGTAAGCAAGAGTGAGGTTTATCATGCGGATTTGTCAGGACCTTCTCTATTAATGTGGATCTCTTGGAATTTAGTCACCCTTCTCTTCCTAGTATAGAAGGAGAGATACCCTTACAAATGGAGATTTCCTTTATAGATATAAATTTCCCTTACAAAGGAGTAACTTGTACTCTGTTTTCAGAGCTCCTCTTGGTCTGGTGTTTCTTTAAAAAACAAAAACAAAAACAAAAAAACACAGAGCTCAAAATAATCCTTATATAATAGAGTTATAGTTGCAATGGCATATTCTAGTTTCTTATAATCTGTGAACCAAAAGTATCTGAGACAGGTCTCAATCAATTTAGAAAGTTTATTTTGCCAAGGTTAAGGACTCACCAGTGACATAGCCTCAGGAGGTCCTGATGACAGGTGCCCAAGGTGGTCAGGGTACAGCTTGTTTTTTTTTGTTTGTTTTGAGATGGCGTCTTGCTTTGTGGCCAGGCTGGAGTGCAGTGGCGTGACCTTGACTCACTGCAGCCTCTGCCTCCGAGGTTCAGGCGATTTGCCTGCCTCAGCTTCCTAAGTAGCTGGGATTACAGGCACCCACTACCATGCCCAGCTAATTTTTATATTTTTAGTAGAGATGGGGTTTCTCTGTGTTGGCCAGCCTGGTCTCGAACTTCTGACTTCAAGTGATCCACCTGCATCAGCCTGCCAAAGTACTGGGATTACAGGTGTGAGCCACTGTGCCTGGCCACCTTGGTTTTATACATTTTAGGGAGACATAAGACATCAATCGGTGTGTGTGAGATGTACATTGGTTCGGTCCAGAAAGGCATGACAACTGGAAGGGGGTCTTTCAGGTCACAGGTAGATAAGAGACAAATATTGCACATTGAGTCTTTGATCAGTCTTTCACTGAATACACAATTTACTTGTGAGAAGGGGTAGAGGAATAGTCACTTATGCCTTGTCTGGCTCAGTGAATCTGTATTTTTTCGTAAACAATAGGGCAGAGAAAGCAATTAGATATGCATTTGTCTCAGGTGAGCAGAGGGATGACTGAGCTCTGTCCTTTTCCCCACCCCCTACACCTGTAAAGATAAGCTATTGATTTACACTGCCAGGGTGAAATTCAACAAAACTGTTTTAGGGCAAAGATCTTGAGGCCCACAAGGAATTTCTTTGTGGGCAAATTATAAGGGAGGCATGTAGCTTTATTTTTATTTTTATTTTTTTTAATCTTTGTAGGTATTTGTTTAGGAATACAATGAGGTGCAGGTTTGCCTGACACAGTTCCCAGCTTGACTTTTCCCTTTGGCTTAGTGATTTGGGGGTCCCGAGATTTATTTCCCTTTCACAAATCATATTTTGGGGTGCACGTTGTGGTCTCCTGTAGTTCCAAAAAGGAAGACGTGTCAAAGCTCCATGTGTTGCAGAGGTCATGGTGAGGATTGCAAAGCTTCCATTAGATTTTCCAATAAGGAAGCTATTCGAATATGCAAGACCTAAGGGTCATGTTTCCTGAGCTTTTCTGTGGGCAATGTATTTTGGAGATTACTCTCTCTAACTTTTGTATTTACTTTGATCCTGAGCTTCCACAGAGAGAAAGATAATAGTGGAAGAGAAGCTGTGTAGTATACGGAAAAAGAAACTGGCCTGGGAGTTTGGCCCAGGATCTTTGCATTTTAATAGAACCTACTGCATACAGTTGTAATGAGGATTAAATGAACTGATCATTTTAAAGCCCTTGGGGCAATGCCTAGCACCCTTTAATCTGATATATAAGTGTTTGTTGAAATACATACATTTAAATTAATTAAATATTGGTGGACCTATTGCTAATTACCATACAGCTTTGGACAACTTTGCTTTTCTAGGATTTAATTTCCCCGTCTACCACGTGATAGGTTTGGGTCAATGTCCTTTCTAGGTCTACAGTTGCTGACTTTCAGGATAAAGAGTTAGTGAAAATGACAAGAGAGGAGCCAGCAAAGCCACTGAGAGCCTCTGCAGCTGATCTAGGAGGCACTCGAGGGACTGAGGACTGAGAGGAGGGGAGTGGATTAAATGAACAACCTGTCTGACATCTCCTCACAGCTGATCCCTCTGGAGAGCACCCAGCTTTTTTTTTTAAATCTGCTTTTCTCTGTGTAGTATCTGGACATATCACAATATATTTTACAAGTGAAACTAATGTCCAATGGAGTCAAACCGATAGAATTTATGAATATATCAATGTAATCTGGTTATAGAGAAAGTAAACAAGTATTGTTCTGAATGTTTACTTGGTGGCTAAGCACTTTTGATAAGACTTAATGTTCCTGCTGCTTAAGTTAAAATAGGCTTTTTATATTGAGGGACTGGATTTTGTCTTGGAAAGTTTCCAAATACAAGGTCATTAGCAGTAATTCATGAGGCTACTATCAGAACTGAGTGGAGTGTGACTAATGAGACAGAAACACTTAGGATTACATTTAATCATTTTATAACTAAAAATAGCTCACACCAGGGAGTCAAGAAAAGCTGGTAGCAAGGGAGAAAATGGACCTAATCCACAATTGCGTGAAACCTGTTTCACGCAACTCTTGTCACCCAATACATTGCTCAGTCAATTTGAATCATTATTTTTGTCACAGTGCCAACTCATATTTGTGGTTTAAAACCCTGAACTATAATACAGTGCAGTTCAATTTCTGGCCAGAGGAAAAACGTGCCTTAGCTAAAATCTTACAAAGAACTATTACAAAAACATATGCTATTTTAATTTATGGATACTAAAAACAGATCTAGTGTAGAGCAGTAATGTAACAAATTATATTATACAATTACATGTATTATTTCTAATTAACTTTTAGTGAAAGAACTTATGGTATCGGCTGGAGATAACCTAATTATAACTTTACCCGACAATGAAGTTGAACTGAAGGCCTTTGTTGTGCCAGCGCCACCTGCAGGTGAGAGTTTAACCTTCCTTCCTGACCGCTAGTAACTGGAGTGTTCTTCCCTAGCAGGTCCTTACAGGCTATTTACAATGCCGATTCTTTTTCACAACGTTGCACAACGTCACAAACAAAGGTGGAAGACAAGGCTTTGATTATCCTTAAGCATCAAAATTTGTTGAAATAGTTTAAAATGGAGTAAGAATCTAGGAAATTAAGTACAGTATATATCATTTAATTGATCAGGATGGAAAGTCATACATTTCTGATGATACAAGCAGATAAGGAGAGGTTGCCACGTACCAGTTCTTGACCTGTGATAACCCATAGAACCTGGGAAGATTCCACCGGGATGAGAGGGAAGTGGCGTGCACCCATAGGTTTGTTTGCAGATACTGTGGCATTGACAATCACAGCTCTGAGGTTCTTAGGATGCCTCACACTAGCTGCTCAAAAAATTTTATTCAAAATGCTCTTTCTTCTACTTGTCCAGTGCTCTACCATTCAGTAAGCATTTGACCTGGGACCTGTGGTCTGTCAAATGCATTGTTCTTAAGGTGTTTGACTATTTCTCATTCGGCTTAGTTCCTTAATTCATTTTTTTCTCCATCACATATTGGTCAAAATTTTATACACAGAGATGATAATATTTGGCATTTGCATTTTAATCCTTTGAGATGAGGTATCTTATATTTTAACTACTAATATCTGAAGCTGGGAGACAGTTTCATCTTAACATAGATATGTTTATACTCTGTTTTTGTGTCCTTAAATAAAGCCCTACAACAGATCAAATGAATTGAAATGTCCTTGCCTTTTGTTAAAAAGAGAAAAGCACAGTGGATTATACTATGTTAAAACTGATGTGGATAGTCAGATGTAGCCTCCTAGAAAAAAACTCATGAAATACTAACGGTTAAATTAGGGAGGTTTTGTTTTTTTAACTTTATACATTTAAAAAATTTCCTATAAGTTGTATGTTTTTATAACAAAAAAAATGTTACATTAAGAAGATACGTGTTATTCTTTACTTGGCTGATAGTTGAAAGTCAGGTTCATAAGATGATAGCAAGAGCGAGGGGATAAAAACAAATAGACTCAAAAAATATATATATAAGTTAAAAAAAAAAGAAAGCTGAGTTGAGTGTATCTAAGGTAATCTGCACTGGTGGTTTAAAGACTGTCATCTCCCCTCTGCCCAGGTTATCTAGTGACCTCTCAGAATTTATAACTACTCATATTTATTTTTTGCTCTCAGAAACAACCTACAGCTATGAATGGAGTTTAATAAGCCACCCCATAGACTACCAAGGTGAAATAAAACAAGGACACTTGCAAACTCTTAATCTCTCTCAAGTAAGTAACTGGAGACTGGTTGTGTCTGACAGCACAGCATAACGGCATAGAACTCAGTTAATACCTTCTTAGCTACTGAACCCAAACGTCTTTCTTTTTTTTTGGAGAGAGTCTTGCTCTGTTGCCCAGGCTGGAGTGCAGTAGCACAATTATAGCTCACTGCAACCTCTGCCTCCTGGGTTCAAGTGACTCTCCTACCTCAGCCTCCTGAGTAGCTGGAATTACAGGTGCGTGTCACCATGCCCAGCTAATTTTTTTGTATTTTTAGTAGAGGTGGGGTTTCACCATGTTGGCCAGGCTGGTTTTGAATTCCTGACCTCAAGTGATCTGCCCTCCTTGGCCTCCCAAAGTGCTGGGATTACAGGCGTGAGCCACCATGCCTAGCTGCAAACATCTTTCTTATGGTAAGATCAAAAGAAGGATATGAATGAGTGAAGTTTCAGCCATGCAAGTAGGCAGGCAGACGGTTAAGAGGCTTTGGATGGCTATTCTTTATTTGGGCTACTTGGTATATCTCAGTTTGGGGAAAAGAGCCTAGTTGTCCCACAAGCATTGCATTGAGGTTAAAAACCAGATCTAACTCTTGCTCTCCTTGCAGTGTTAAGGACATTTTACTTATCTCTGGTTCTCAATCCAGCACATCTCTAGAGTTGCAAATAATTCCGTTCCAGGTCACAAATTATCCTATCACATGTTGCTCTATGATACAAGCACTCGTAAGAAACATGCCCTCTTTCTGGCCTAAGAGGATATATAAACCGACTTAGCGACTAGAGGTCTAGTTTCCTACTAGATGATTATGTTGACTTCATCTCCTGGGATCACACAGCTAATGGTACAACACAGACTTGCATCACCCTCATGTCATGGAGCTCTGTTTCTCAAAGTGTGGCATCCAGACCAACGTTGCCATGGAGCTCTGCTGGCAACCAACGTAGTAGAGCTAGGTGGTAAAAATGCAAGATTCCATACGCATGTTTGAGAACTGCTGCCCTCTGCTGGTCCATCTCACCCAGGCCTCTGTGAAGCCCTCTGTAGCGAAGCTAAAGGCCTGTGTAGGTGATCCTTAGTGTTCCAGAATTGAGGCTTCAAACATGTGGCAGCCTCTTGGCAGATCCAAATGAGACTCTCTCCTGAGCCCCTTCTCTATGCTGACTTTAGGAGTGTGGCTTCTGGGACATTTTAGCTTTTTCTAGGTAGTGAACCCATCATGTCTTGCATGTTGAATTGTATAACTTCTCTTTATGTTACAGTTGTCCGTTGGACTTTATGTCTTCAAAGTCGCTGTTTCTAGTGAAAATGCCTTTGGAGAAGGATTTGTCAATGTCACTGTTAAGCCTGGTAAGCCTGTGTAAGAGAATGGCCTCCTGTTGTACACATTTATCTCAACTTTTGGTGCCTGGATGACTCTATCTATATTTATCTACCTATCTATCTAGAGAGAGAAAACCTATTTTGAATTAGGCTCCATTGTAGAGAAAACACGCAAAGATTATGTTTTTTGGTTTTTTTCTACCTTTCGTATATCACTTAGTACTTGCTTGACAAGGTTATTGCTGGCTGCTCTTGAATGGTGGCGAATCTACCTTAGCTCTCTCTATCTGACATTTACGCCATCCTCTGTAACTTCTACCTCCACTCTCCATGATTCAGCACCTTCGGAGCAGGGGCATGTTAAATACACTCAACTGAGCAACCAAGAGGTCCGGGGAAAATGTGTGCCCATTGATCAGTGTATTCGTGTCAATTAGAAACAGGTGGTTCTTGGGCTGGGTGGGCACAGCCCTGGCTTGTTGCATAGAACATGGGCTGGCTTTCAGTCCCCACCACCCCCTCACCTGTGCTGAGGGCACAACCTACCCAATCAAGGTGAACCTCCCCTGCACCAACTTCAGCCCACCCTGAGGGCCTGATAGCTCTATCTTTTGCATATTCTGCCTGGTTATTATTACAGCTGAAGCATGGTTGGGGGCGAGTTGCCTTCAGTCAGAGATATAACATCCAGTCAATCCCAGGAGCTGGAACTGTAATCCCTTGCACCTGCCCTGTAATTACTGCTCACACTCTGTGATGAGCCCCTTGGTTATTATTGTACATCTTCACTGACCCTGGGCTTACATGCAAAAGTGTAAATGTACAGACAAGCTCCTGAAATTCAGAGAGACTCCAGACTTTAAAAAGTGATTTCTATAGCTGAGGCCTGTTGGATAAACACCTTCTCGACAGGACATTTAATAGTCAATTTTTTTAAGTAGATGATTTTATGTGGGTAATGAGATACGCATACCCAACACGGGCTCAGTCACTGTCCTTTTTTCTCTGTTACAGCCAGAAGAGCCAACCTGCCACCTGTAGCCGTTGTTTCTCCCCAACTGCAAGAGCTCACTTTGCCTTTGACGTCAGCCCTCATTGATGGCAGCCGTGTGTATCCTGTGATAGTTTAGGGATTTCTTTTTTCTCTGCATGCTACAAAATGTAATGGGTGCTCTGCGTCAAAACTGGGAGGACTTATGGGCTGTTACTTTGATAAACAATCACCTCCTTCTTTAGTTTTATGTCTTCTTTAGTTCCTTTAGCTCCTCTATCCTGTGCTTATTTTCCCTTCACCTTTTGTCTGTTCTATTAGAAAGTTCTTTAGAGCCTGGCCGTTTGATAGGAAATTATAGCAATTATTGAAGAATCTCCTGGTGTGGTATGTATGGAGAGTAGTTGGAAAATCACTTCATATATGTATATATCTTTATATATATAACTTATTTTAGAAGAGTATTTTAAAAGAATTAATTAGATGCCAGAGAGGCGCTCCCGTGACCTGACTTGGGAGGGGAGGTGCCCCCCACCAGATGGGAAAATCGCTTTTAAGAACTCTTAGAAGGGATATCTTCAGTGAGGGAGCGTGGTGGTTTTGTAAATTTGTTCAGAGATCATTTCTTCTATTGGAGTATATGTGGAAGGGACCCCTGTGTAACTACAGGTGTCCATGTAAATAAGAATTGGTTGAAAACATCCTGTGTTTGACTAGGTTCAACCTTATCAGTGTACCAGGTAATTGCATTTTATGTACATTTAATCACAAAGCTAATACCAAATCCTTTAGAGAGTGAAGAACGGTTGCCTTGGTTGTTGCGAGAAGAATACTTGTTAGCCATTAAAGCTGCTCTATCTTGCACGCCTGCAAATTTACAGAGATCACATTGACATGACCATTTGCATCTATTCAAAAATAGTCCACATTTCCATCTTAGCAACATGAAAATAAAGCATATTTTAAACGGAAATATTTACATGAACAAATAGGTCACATTTTGATTCCTCTAATTCAGTGTGGCTTATTTACAGGCAACTGTTCATGATTATTAATCTGTCACATGAACTTGTTCTTTCCTTAAATGAATTAGATGAAACTAGCCCCTTTCCAGGTCTAAATTGCTGTGAATCTGCATGGCACATTTTGTTTGTTCTCTTTTAAAATAGAAATGGAAAATTTTCATGTAAGGATGTGACCTTTCTCTGGATTTGCCCCTTAATAATAAGGTAGTAAAAGATGTTTTGTAAGTTATAGAAAAGCAACTCAAGTCTCTTTGAACCTGTCAGCTCAGGTGCCTATTTAAAATGATCAGTAGGAGCTCGCGTGCTGTAGCTGAGGTGAGCAGCAGTAGCATTTCCATGTGCTGCGTTTTGTTGACTCCTGTTTTTTTTAAAAGCAAAAGCCTCTGTCACTGTGCTTCTTAAATATTCAACTGAGTGGGAACAGCCTCAGTCAAATCTGGTGGAAATCCAGGAGAAAAATAGTGATATAATTTCAGGAGTAGGAAAGAACCTCCTTCTAATACAATATATATCCATTGAGATCTAGGCAAGTACATAATTTCATATAAAAATGAATTTAAATATGCAGTAATTAAAGTATAAAACTTATGTCTTCCTCTTCTTGTATTTCATTCTTGTCTCTATTTCTTAATCTTTTAGAAAGTACAGATGATACTGAAATAGTGAGTTATCACTGGGAAGAAATTAACGGGCCCTTCATAGAAGAGAAGACTTCAGTTGACTCTCCCGTCTTACGCTTGTCTAACCTTGATCCTGGTAACTATAGTTTCAGGCAAGTGGGTCCCTGCCTTTATTGTGCTGCCTGCTACTTACATTTTTACTGTTTCTTTAAATCAATGCACATAAAACACTGCACTACTTATTTTGATCAAAAGAGATTTGGCTTTCATAGGGGTTTTGGTTCGATGCCGCTGGAGACTCTGATACCCTCATCAATTAATATGAACTTTATTTATTCATTGGAGTAAAATTTATATATAGTGAAAGGTACTTTATGAGATTCATTTAATTCGTTTGTATTTAATTACGCTTTACCATCTGATTGGAACAGGTTACTGCTCCTAACCCAGGAAGAAATTTCCTAACGGGCCCAGAAAGTGTCCTGACTCAGCCTGGTTGAGAAGGAAGGACTTTAGGTGTTTGGTTTGCTGTCAGAGCCAGAAATGGAAGTTGGAGCTTGGTTGTGTGGAGTATGAGGGATAGTGCGGAAGGAAGCTCAGAATGCACAGGTGCCCCCTACATGTGCTTTCCCTGCAAGGAAGGCCTGTGTTCTTGCCACAGCTTCATTGTCATATGCCTATTGATATTATTTAGCACTCATCACTGCTCCCACCACCATCTTTAATGTAGAAGGATGAAGTGACCCATTTGTGAATTCACTGTCCTCAGGACCACATTAGGAATCAGTTTAGTGCAGGAAGGTTAATGCACTTCTCTTTTTTGTTTACAGAGGTTGAGCACTGGTTCACATTTGAAAGTGCTTAATCCTAACACCGCTTTGCAAGGAGTATCCGGAAAACATAATTATAAGTCCTCTAGAAAAGGATTAAAAAATAAAAAGCTTTGTAGCTGAAAATTCAGGAGTGATTTGCTGTCTCTGCATGCTCAACCTGAAGGCAGAACTTAAACCTGATCCATTTTTAGTCTCTGTTATTAAAGAGTGGCATCTATGTTGGGTGAGGATAGTTTCTTCACCCAGCATCTCAAAAGCTAATCAGAAATCCATGAAGGTGAAACTCTGACATCGATATGTTATGAACTAACACTAAAATAATCAACAGCAGCAAAATCAAACAAAAATATCAAGTCTGTGTTTATCTTTGCTTCATTCTTAAATTTATGTTTTTAACTGTTCCGAGTTCTTCTGAGAACTGTTTCATGAGCAGACTAAATTGATCTAAGTTTACCTTGAGATTTGGCGTATTATTTTTTTGTCTCTTTTTTTTTTTTTTTTTTTTGGTTGTTTTTTGAGACAGTCTGTTGCTCTGCTGCCTGAGCTGCAGCGCAGTGGAGCAATATTGGCTCACTGCAGCCTTGACCTCCCCGGGCTCAAGTGATCCTCCCACCTCAGCCTCCCAAGTAGCTAGAACTATAGGTATGCGTGCCCACACTGGCTAATTTTTTTGTTGTTGTTGTTAAATAGAGACAGAGTCTCACTCTATGGCCCAGCTGGTCTCAGAACTCCTGGGCTTAAGCAATCCTCCCACCTCAGCTTCCCACAGTGTTGGGATTACAGGCGTGAGCCACTGCGCCCAGCCTTGCATATTCTTCCAACTATGGTTTCTTCTCCTTTTTGTAGGTTGACTGTTACAGACTCGGACGGAGCCACTAACTCTACAACTGCAGCCCTAATAGTCAACAATGCTATGGACTACCCACCGGTCGCTAACGCTGGACCAAATCACACTATAACTTTGCCTCAAAACTCCATCACTTTGAATGGAAACCAGAGCAGTGACGATCACCAGATTGTCCTCTATGAGTGGTCCCTGGGTCCTGGGAGTGAGGGCAAACATGTGGCCATGCAGGCAAGTTCTCCGTCCTGCCTTCAGACTTTTGTCTGTCTGTCTGTCTGTCTACCTACCTACCTACCTATCTATCTGCTGTTGGTTGGGGTAGGCAGTTCAATTTAGATACTTTATTTTGTAAAGTTACCTGATACATTACAACTATTGGAAAAAGACCAAAGCTCACAAATCTTCCAAGTTTACATCCTTTCCCCTCTCCCACTTAGATAGCACAGGACAGCAACCAATTGGCTCTGTGTTGAAAATTAGATCTTGAGATCAGTTTGGGAAGTCTCACATCTGTTAGAGAAGTATTTTCGTATTGGGAGAAACCTTAGAAATAATCTAATCTAAACCTCATTATCAGAATTTGTTTTGTTATTCTGTTTCTCCTGTTTATAGAAACTCCATGTTATCTTGTCTACATCCACTGGTCGCTTTTTAGGGTCTTGTTTGTATCTACCTTTTGATTTGTTCAAATCTTTTAAGTATGTTTGTCTAACAACATAATAATCTTGAAACTTCTGTTGTGTGTGAAGTTTCCGTGGAAACTTACAGGTGCTCACTATCATGCCTGGCTGATTTTTTAAAAATATTTTTAGTAGAGACGTGTTTGCTGATTCTTCTTTTTGTGATTGGCAAAGCTATTTGTTTTTGTTGCTAACCAGCTTAATGTTTTTGAAGTTATGTTATTTTTTTGAGAGTTTTATGAAAAAAAAAGAAAGATAGGACCTTACATTTCCATCTTCTTTTCTCCTTCAAATTTCGTCTCACCAGTCCAAGATACATTTCTCATTAGTATTTAAGATAAAATCAGATATTCCATGGAAACTTACCTGCTTTACTTTCTGGTGTTCCTGGGACATGCCTTGCAATTATGAGGAGTTAAAAGTAACTGGGTAGATTTATGGAACTTGAAAGAGCCATGAGTTGTCTGGATATCCTTGGAGAACCCTCTTGGTGGTGTCCATCTCTACCTAGGGGTTGTAGCAAGTGCTATGTTCTGTTATGTTAAGAATTCTGATTCAGAGGTGGGTTGCATACAAAACAGGAGGATGGGATATTTTGTATTTTCACCATTAAAAGAATCTTCCTAATTTTCTTTTACTTATTAGGAATTATGCATCCAAAGCTAATACTCCAAAATTCATCCATGCATACTGGACATGTATCCAAAGTTTCTGAGGGCTGGGCCACACTGTGAGCCTTGCCTCTACACACCAGCCCAGTTGCCAGACACCCTCTCTCTTCTTTCCCCAAATAATATCCATAGTGGCAACCTTATTGCCTTATGCTTGATTGATTAAGATGTCCAAAGGGGTATTAACTGGGGCAATCACAAAGATGAGGTCTGTGAATCAGACCGTTTTATATTTGTCTGAAAATTGTACCAAGCAGCCCGCTGAGGCTGTGTTCTTACTGGGGAAGGAAGTGAAACCTTTGCAATTGCCTGAAACATGCGGCTGCCTTGGGAGCATCGGTGAGACACAGTAGTCTGCTCAGTTCCCATTTACCACAACATTCCCTTACGTTGTGTGCAGAAGCATTTACGTACCTGATGAATTTAGAGGCAACTCCTGGGAAATGATACTTTCCCTGTTGAACTTTTCAGAGAAAGGTGCTTTGCCTTATTTAGTCAAAGTAGGGAAAAGTATTTTTTTTTCCAGAAGTTCTTAAAAATATGCATTTCAAATTTCAGAAGTTCGCCTGGTAACCCAATTGATTTTGTATCAACTTTCTTTTCAAATTTTCCATTAAAACCTTAAAAAATGCACACAGATACATTTATCTTTAGACAATCTTGGGATCTATAAAAGTAAATAAATTGTAATAAGACTTAAAAATTCTTTTCATAATGCCATGCACTTCAAACATAAGCAATAATTGAAACTATTACCAACAACAAAAAAGAAAGGGTATTAACCTGGGGTCACCAAGTGTAGTTATTGCATACTCAGTTGAAAAAATGACTTTGTAAAAACTTGGGTTGACTTAGAGTTTTACAAAATTATATTATTTATTTATTTTGAAACAGGATCTCACTCTGTCACCCAGGCTGGAGTGCAGTGATGTGACTATAGCCCACCGTAGCCTTGATCTCCTGGGCTCCAAAGATCCTCCTATCTCAGCCTCCCGAGTAGCTAGGACCACAGGCACATACCACCACACCTGGCTAATTTTTGTATTTTTTTGTGAAAATGGGGTTTTACCATGTTGCCCAGGCTGACCTTGAACTCCTGGGCTTAAGCGATCCTTTCGCCTTGGCCTCCCTAAGTGCTAGGATCACAGGTGTGAGCCATCACACTCGGCAAAAAATTATTATTTATTTTTTCTTTTTTGAGATGGAGTCTCACTCTGCGGTCCAGGCTGGAGTGCAGTGGCGTGATCTTGGCTCACTTTAACCTCCGCCCCCCAAGTTCAAGCGATTCTTCTGCCTCAGCCTCCCGAGTTGCTGGGATTACAGGTGCCTGCCACCATGCCCAGCTAATTTTTGTATTTTTAGTAGAGATAGCGTTTCACCATTTGGGCCAGACTGGTCTTGAACTCCTGACTTCATGATCCACCTGCCGCAGCCTCCCAAAGTGCTGGGATTACAGGCATGAGCCGCTGCACCCGGTCAAAAAATTATTTTTGATTACAAAAGTAATACATGAATTGCCTCTTGTGGTTTAAAAAAAAAAAAGCTCAAATAAATTCTGCTAAAATAAGTTCAAATAAATTGATCACCACTGCCAACCAAGTGTCCTTACTGGAAATAATTACTTTTATCAGTTTAATGTGTATACTTCCAGAATCTTCTCCGTGTGTGTGTAAGTGTGTGTATGTACATGTAGCAATACCTTTCACATTGTATGCATGGTTCCACAAGTTTCTTTTTTGTGTGGATTTCTGTAAACAATATTTTACTGTTTGCTTTTGACTGCGACCCAACTTTCTTTTTTTTTTCTTAATATGTCTTTGACATTTGCCGTTTTAGTATTTATAAACCTGCCTCATGATTTTAAACTTCTTTCTTTTAAACTAGTATTCCATAGTATATCGTAGTGTGTTTGACCATCCTCCTGTTGATGGATGTGTAGACTGTTTGCGTGTTTTGCTGTGATAGACTGTGCTTCAGTCAACATCCATGGACGAGTCTCCTTGTGCATTTCTCCGGTGTAGATACTAAGAAGTCAAATTACTGGGTTGTAGTATGTGCTTATTTAATATTTTAATAGCTGTTTTCAGATAGGCTTCCAAAAAGGCTATACTAGTTTACACTCCTTCAATAGTGTATGAGGATGCACAGTAGAGTTTAGGTCACACGTTCTTGGGGACCAACATATTTTTTTCTTTTTTCTGTCACCCAGGCTGCAGTGCAGTGGTGCAATCTCAGCCCACTGCAACCTCCCTCTCCCAGGTTCCGAGCGATTCTTGTGCCTCAGCCTCTTAAGTAGCTGGGATTACAGGTGCCCGCCATCATGCCCCGCTGATTTTTAAAACATATTTTTAGTAGAGACAGGGTTCCACCATGTTGACCAGGCTGGCTTCAAACTTCTGACCTCAAGTGATCCGCCTGCCTTGGCCTTCTAAAGTGCTGGGATTACAGATGTGAACCATCGTGCCTGACCAAACACATTTCTTTTTGAGCAAGGTCTCTGTATTAAGTAAAATTGTTAGTTTTTCATTCTGTCATACTATTTACTTGTGCTTCTTTACTTTCTTTTTGTTTTGTTTTTATTTTTGTCTTTGCTATTACTTAGGGCGTGCAGACACCGTACCTTCATTTATCTGCAATGCAGGAAGGAGATTATACATTTCAGCTGAAGGTGACAGATTCTTCACGGCAACAGTCCACTGCTGTGGTGACTGTGATCGTCCAGCCTGGTAGGTGGAGGAGAAAGAGATTTGGCCTCAGAGAGTAAAGAAGAAATGATAGCTGGGCTTCTGAGGTTTGGAGATGCCACATTGGTGGTACCGGCTTGTGGGTGCCGAAGCTCCATATAAAACTAATTTCATTTTGCAGTTCTAAATCTTGCCTTGACTGGCTGTAAACTATGGCATGAAGGATGAAATGAGAGCCATCCACAGCACTGCTTGTGGGTTCCAATTCGCCATGTGGATGCTTCCACACGTGCCCCACTCTGCCATAGAGAACTCCAGACGACCTCGAAGGGGCTGGTTCTTATGTGTGGCTTGACACTCAGATGTAGCCAGAGATTGGGGAACATGTTCCAGTTCAGTGTCACTGTTCATTAATAGTTTCATGAAAACCCAGGGTTCTGCCTACCTCCTCAGTTAAATAACCTTAAAGGTTATTATACCTTTGTTTGATAATGGGCTTTGCCTTAGAACTTTTCTAAAAGAGGCTTGTTAGTCCCAGAACCTTTCTCCAGTTCCTGGCAATGAGATTATACTCAACCTATAGACAACTTATTTATTTATGCCACTAATACATAAAAAGGGCTATTAGTTAGACTCTGGGATGTGGAATTAAACAAGATAGACTTGGTCTCTGCCCTTGTAGGGCTTATGGAGAAGTTCACATAAAACTCTGTGATTGGTGCTTTACTAAAAAAACTACAGGGTGCTACAGGGCCCAAAAGAAAGAGCACTCGCCTAGGTGTGACGCATCTGCAAAGAGCTTGTACATGAGCTCAGGATTGAAGCACAAGTCACAGTTAGTCAGTGAAGAAGGGGAGGGGTGGGCAGCACAGGGGAAGAGGAAGAGTTCTTAGGTAGAGGGAACAGTATGCATGAGGGCCAAGGAAGAGAGTCTGGTACATTCAAAGATTTAAAAGGAAATTACTGTGATTGGAGACAGAGAACAAGAGGTAGGGATGTGGGAATGGGAGGTGGTGGGGAGGGTGGGCAGGGTCTGGAATGACAGTAGATGACCCCAGGAGAGCCCAGGACTCCATCCTAAAGGGCTTTGTAAATGTATGGTCACCCAAGTACTCTATCCTACGGCAAAGAGAAACTCCTGTTATGTACTGAGTAGGATCATGGGGTCTGTGGTGTGGTACAAACACTGGGCAATGGCTGCTACAGCTTTTGACTCTATGACTTTTTTTTTTTTTTTTTTGTAAGACTGGGTCTCACTCTGTTGCCCAGGCTGGTCTCAAACTCCTGGGCTCAAGCAATCCTCTCACCCTTGGCCTCCCAAAGTGCTGCGATTACAGGTGTGAGCCACTACACCTGGCCCTTTTTTTGTTAACAGATATTTTATCTATTTATATCAATATTAGCAATACTTTTTTTTTTTTTTTTTTATGTGAGACAGAGTCTCACGCTGTCATCCAGGCTGGAGTGCAGTGGCATGATCTCGACTCACTGCAATCTCTGCCTCCCAGGTTCAAATGATTCTAGTGCCTCAGCCTCCTGAATAGCTGGGATTACAGATGTGTGCCACCATGCCTGGCTAATTTTTGGATTTTTAGTAGAAACAGAGTTTCACCATGTTGGCCAGGCTGGTCTTGAACTCCTGGCCTCAAGTGATCCACCTGCGTTGGCCTCCCAAAGTGCTGGGATTACAGGCATGAGCTACCACGCCTGGCCAATATCAGCAATACTTTATATATTTTACTTTCTTTCAACATTTAATTTAAAATATTTTGAACATTTACTGTTTACCAGGCACTGTGTTAGCAATGAGGCTACAGAGACAAAAGGAAGTAAGCCCTACCTGATAAAGCAGGTCTCTTCACATGGATGTCCCCTCCCTCCCTCTCTGTCTCTCTTCCTCCCTCCCTTCCGTCCCTTCCTTCTTTCCTTCCTCTCTCTTTCCTTCCCCCACCCTTCTTCCCTCTCTCCTTCTACCCTTCTTTCCTTTCCTTCTCTTTCACCCTATGACTGAAGATATATATATATAGATATATATATCTCTCTATATATAGATATATATATATATATTTTTTGATACGGAGTCTCTCTCTGTCGCCCAAGCTGGAGTGCAGTGGCGCGATCTTGGCTCACTGCAAGCTCCACCTCCCGGGTTTACACCATTCTCCTGTCTCAACCCCCCGAGTAGCTGGGACTACAGGCACATGCCACCACGCCCGGCTAATTTTTTGTATTTTTAGTAGAGACAGGGTTTCACTGTGTTAGCCAGGCTGGTCTCGATCTCCTCACCTTGTGATCCGCCCGCCTCGGCCTCCCAAAGTGCTGGGATGACAGGCGTGAGCCACCGCGCCCGGCCGACTGAAATTCTTTTAAACCAAAGAAACCAAAGATGTGTCTATTAGAGACAGTGTTTCTTGGCTGCCTGTAACGGCAGTCTTGAACTTGGACTGTTCAACTCCTGGATCAGCTAAGGAGGCTGCAGTGCTTCACTCCAGGATTCCAAAGGATGCTGCATACTCTAGTGGCTGCCTGGTCTGAAGATGAGTAATGTACTTAAATCAAGAAATCACAGGATTGCAGACTTAATGCAAGGAGATAATACTTTTTCACACTGTTTCTGTAATTCCAGAAAATAACAGACCTCCAGTGGCTGTGGCTGGCCCTGATAAAGAGCTGATCTTCCCAGTGGAAAGTGCTACCCTGGATGGGAGCAGCAGCAGTGATGACCACGGCATTGTCTTCTACCACTGGGAGCACATCAGGTAGTCTGTCTCGCCACTGAGCTAGGTTCATGCCCATGCTGAATGCTCATATTATCCCTTCTCTGGAGGATCTGTAGTAAACAGTCAGCTTCAGCATTTTGAGGAGTTGGGATTTAAGCACGTTTCTAGAAGTGGCTGGGTGTTATTGATTGAAGAGTACGTCAAGTGTGGATGGACATCATTGACAGTAGAGGGAGGTAGAGCTCAGGGCAGGTGAACAGGGCTGTCTTGGTGTGAGGCGAGCTCATGACAGAAGAGGTTCAGGGAAACCTGTGTGTGATCCCGTCTACACTCAACCCATCCTGCAGTGACTGTAGACACCAGAAGTGCAGAGCGTAAGAGGCAGTCCATATCATCTAACATTTTCTGAGCTTTACATGCTCTGTCTCATAGAACCCTGTATCAGTTTGTAAGAGATAAATAAGAATATGATTCCTATTTAAAGTTGGAGAAACTGAGGCTTGTAGACACTAATGAGACCACACAGACTAAGGTTGCCCAAATAGTAAGAGAAAGAGCTTGGACCCAAACTGAGGTATTTTTGACAAGCCCCTGATCTTAATGACTATAGTGTGATTTATCTCTTAGGAGAGGGCTTATCTGGCTTATTCCCTCCTCCTCCATGCTCTCCCTAAAGATAGACGAGGATTTCACCTAATTTTATTCAAAGAAGAAATGGGAGTCGTTTCTAAGGCTCATTTTCCAAGGAGAGATCATTTCACTGGCAGCTTGACTTAAAGAAATCGAGAACAAATATTCTCTTCCCAGTAATCCAGCAGACTCTGCCTGAAATAGGTTTTCGCTTATGACTCTTGCAGTGAACTAGAGAGTACAGATGAATGGAGTTTTCTTAGAATTCTCTAAATGGTATATATTATAGCTGGAACAAAACATTTATAAGAGCACAAATCGCATGCCTGTCATATTCAGAATCCCATGCCCCTGCCCTTATGTTAACCGCTTCCATGTTTTATAGAGGCCCCAGTGCAGTGGAGATGGAAAATATTGACAAAGCAATAGCCACTGTGACTGGTCTTCAGGTGGGGACCTACCGCTTCCGTTTGACTGTGAAAGACCAGCAGGGACTGAGCAGTACATCCACCCTCACTGTGGCTGTGAAGAAAGGTGAGTGGGTCTGAGGTGGACAGGGCTGGGCCTGCTCTGCTTTCGAGTCTGCAGGACCCTCAGCCAGGCTGTGACTGCTCAGAGATGTTGGTGTTTGCTGATTTGTTCACAGCAGATGCCAAACCCTGCCTGGCAGAAAAAAAGCCAGCTTTCTTCTATTCATGTTAGCTGTTTCCCAGTCGCCCTCTGCAAGGAGACATTTCCTTTTGTTTGTGGAGCGTATCTTCTAATGACTTCACTCTTCTGTGACTGCTACTAATGAAAGACCCATGTCCAAATGACACCATTTTTTTTTCTTTATTGCTTGGAAATTCAAGAAAAGAGATTCAAACTCCGTATCGTTTCTTAATGCGAAATCTGTGATCTAGACTAGTGCAATACCATTTGAGGTACTTGTCTCCTTGTCTGTCTTCTCATTTGACTGTGAACTGCCTGAGTGCCTTTGCTTCAGACATCTCTGTATCTTCAGTATAGCAGAGTGCTAGACTCATGGCAAATCAGAGGTATTGAATGAATTAGTGAAGGGATGATTACCACGTGTTGAAGTGCAGAGGAGTATAAGAGCCTGGCTGGATGGAAAGGTTCACGCATTGTAGAATGGCAAGAGTGTGGGACGCTGGGACAGTGGCTGCAGCCTGAGGCACAGGCCCTGCCGTGGAGGGTTATATGTACCTGGGCTATGCCTAGGGGTTTGGACTTTATTCTCTGGGCAGCTGGGAGAGGCTGAAACAACTTTAACAGCAAAGTCTATAGATTTGCATTTTTAAAAAGATTTTATTGTTGAGATTTTCAACCATGCATTAAAGCAGAGAGAATAATCTGAACAGGCATCTTGACTTGTTTCTAAGGGGAAATTGGGAGGGATCAGGCTGGGTCCCAGAGCCCCATCTGGACAAGCAGGATTTGCCTCACAGCAGCCTCATCTCCAAATTGAGGCTGTGTCTTATTATGATCTCCCTACTGTACTGTAGTCTAGTTAAGGCTCCCTGGCCCCTCTTTTCTGAAGCTATTACATCAGAAATGGCTTTTACATTGCCTCATTTTTTTATTTTTAAAATAGACACAGGGTCCCACTCTGTTGCTCAGACTGGAGTGCAGTGCTGCGATCAAAGCTCATTGCAGCCTCAAACTCCTGACCTCAAGTGATTCTCTCACCTCAGCTTCCTGAGTAGCTGGAACTACAGGTGTGTGTCACCATGCCCAGCTGATTTTTAATGTTTTTGTGTGTGGAGACAGGTCTTGCTACCCAGGCTGGTCTTGAACTTCTAGCTTCAAGCACGCATCCTGCCTTAGCCTCTACAAGTGTTGGGATTACAGTTATGAGCCACCATGCCTGGCCATTGCCTCATTTATATTTAATACCTAGTCAGAGAAGTGAGGGCCTAATTATCATTGTTATTATTTTAATTTTTCATAGAGATGGAGACTTGTTATGTTGCCCAGGCTGGTCTCAAACTCCTGGTCTCAAGTGATTCTCCTGCTCTGGCCTCCTAAAGTGCTGGGATTACAGGTGTGAGCCACTGCACCCAGCCTACTTTTCACTCAAGTCTTTTTTTTTTTTTTTTTTTTTTTTAAATCTTAGGGAGTCAAGATTTGGCAATAGTACTTGAAGTGGAAATATTTCTGGCCAGATAGTGTGGACCAGTACAAAATGACCCAGAATATGTTTTAAACCAAAATATTGCCACTTTCAGCACCCTAAATGTTGGTAAAATCATTGTTCCTTTTTTTCAAGGACAGAAAAATTGTAACAATATTAGAAAAATTCCCAATGTATAGCTTGCCACCTGCTTTACCTTTTTCATCCCAAATTATAGCTAGCTAAGTACAAATGGAGTTTTAAGGAAGTCTGTATCTTATATGCATTTGGGAAAAAAAAAGCCTTTTTGGATATTTTAATTCTACATACTGTATCTGCAAGGTGGAAGAGTTGTGGATGTTTTATGACACACTTTTTCTATCACCAATGTTTTAAATCAATCTTTTTGCTTTCATTTTTGCTATATTTGACTTAGAAAATAATAGTCCTCCCAGAGCCCGGGCTGGTGGCAGACATGTTCTTGTGCTTCCCAATAATTCCGTTACTTTGGATGGTTCAAGGTCTACTGATGACCAAGGAATTGTGTCCTATCTGTGGATCCGGGATGGCCAGAGTCCAGCAGCTGGAGTGAGTACTGAGAGAGAATTGCTCCTAGACCACTTATCATTACATCTGCATTAGTCAGCTTGGGCTGCAAACAGTATACCACAGTATATTCTAAGGATATAAGTATAAGGAAGCTTAAACAACAGAACTTCATTTTGTCTCTGTTAAGGAGGCTTGGAAGACAGGCTCAAGTTGCTGGCTAATTCAGTTCCCAGTGAGGTCTTTCTTCCTGGTTTGCAGACAGCTTCCCTCTTACCATGTCCTCCCATAGCAGAGGAAGAGAGAGCACTCTGTGTCTCTTCTTATAAGGACACTAATCCTATTGGATCAGGGGCCTACCCTTATGACCTCAATTAACCTTAACTACTTCCTTATAGGTCCTATTTCTAGATACAGTCGTATGGGGTTAGGGCTTCAACACAGGAATTTGGGAAGGAAACAGTTCAGTCCACGGCAGTGTCTCTATAATGACCTCATCTCTCTTTCTGTGTTCCCTGTAAGGTGCTTATGCTTCTATATTTGAATGTTCTGAAGGCTGGAGGCAGTAGGCTGCTTTGAGATTTAACCAAAAGCTGAAATCCTTCCCGACTTTTTCCTGAACAGACTTTGGATGGGCAGGAAACCATAGCTTGGAAGGACTTTGAGGTCAAGTCTTCCAGCAGAATCATCCTACTGGAAGCAGGATGCTTTTCCATCCTTCCTATTTTGGTCCAAGTGGATTCTTTTCTGTTCCTCATATTCTGCCAGATGAGTCAATAAGTCAGGTATTGCTGTTTATGTTTTATAGATGCAGAAGGCGAAATGCAGAGATGAGAAGTGACTTGGCCAAGGTTAACTAATCCACTTCTTTTTCTTTCTTTCTTTTGTTTCTTTTTTCTTTTTCTTTTTCTTTTTTTTGAGACCAGGTCTCACTCTATTGGCCAGGCTGTAGTGCAGTGGTGCGATCTCAGCTCACTGCAACCTCCACTACCCGAGTTCAGGCGATTCTCTTGCCTCAGTCTCCCGAGTAGCTGGGACTACAGGCACATGCCACTACGTCCAGCTAATTTTTGTATTTTTAGTAGAGATGGGGTTTCACCATGTTGGCCAGGATGGTCTTGATCTCTTGACTTCATGATCCGCCCACCTCGGCCTCCCAAAGTACTGGAATTACAGGTGTGAGCCACTGCGCCCAGCCTTAACTAATCCATTTCTAATCAAACTAGACACACCTAAGTTTTTAGCTCCTGGCAGGCATTTTACCCCCATTAGATCACTCTGCCTCTTAGGACATAAATGTATGTACATCTTCATTCCTGCCATTTCTAAGAACTGGAGAGATGCAGATTTACTCTTGGAGATGTACTAAGGAGTGGTCACAGGGAAGGAACTGAAAATGCTTTATATTTTCTAAGCACTTCTAGAATTAACACTATTCAACTAGAAGGGGGATTAGCCTCTAAATGTAATAACAGTGAGTCTCTGTTCAGAGCACGTATTCGTTACCACCCCTTCTATTAGCCGGAGTCTGGGAGGTTCTTCTCTAATTCTTTGGAGCTTAGAAGCACACAGAACAGAGGATGCTACACAGGGTCTTGGGTTATTTGAGGTGAACATGATACATTATGAGGGAATTCAAGATGAGAGTTTTGTAAAGCTATGTTTGAAAATAAGACCCAGAAAATCTGTGCTTTGTTCTCAGGGTCCTTGCCCTAATTCAAATGGTCTTTCCCTTTGTTGGATACAATTAATTATTTGGTAATTCCTGGAAAGTGCTTGGTAAACTCAGCCCAGGAAATACTGTCTGAGGATGTGCCCCCTGGCGCTTTTTGGGGAAGAGATGCTGAGGATTTCTCCTGTCTTTAGCTGTCCCACCAGCCTCATTCCCCTGCAGCTTCCCTCTTAAAGTCACGCCTGTGTTAAAAAGATGGGACACTGAGGTTTAGGATCAACACAAGCCCAGAAATTGGGACCTGAGGATTGACAGCTGCCCTGTGATCCGTGTTCTTTCGTAGGATGTCATCGATGGCTCTGACCACAGTGCGGCCCTGCAGCTTATGAATCTGGTGGAGGGAGTGTACACTTTCCACTTGCGAGTCACCGACAGTCAGGGGGCCTCGGACACGGACACTGCCACTGTGGAAGTGCAGCCAGGTGAGTTCCTGGGCTCTGGAGCTGGCCATGCATGCTCTGGCTGGTCAGCCTTTGGGGTCTTTATGCTGACAGATGTGACTAGCGTGGGAGGCCTCCTGTGGCTGGCTCCAGCTCTTGGCTGGACCCACTTTGAGGATGTCTCTTACACCTTGTTGTGTATCCCCAGATAGATCCAGCCTCATCACTCTTTAAAAGAGAATGTTATCTGGCAACTAGATTTTCTTTTCAGTTTTGTTTTCCTGCCAGAAGACAAAGACCTAATGTGAAGCGGACACAAGGGCCTCAGTACCAGGGCACAGAGGGAGGCAGCTCCAGTGAAACGGCTGTAATGAGCCCAGCATAAACTGAACTGGGCAGTGCCTGTGGCACTTGGAAGCAAAATTCTCTTTCTAGTCCTGGGGAAGTGTGGAAGGGGCTGAAATTTTCAGTTAGCCCAGAGGCTAATTAGGTACACTCAATTATCATCTGGAAAAAAAAAAATTATAAATAGCAAACTGGGATAAAACAAGGGAAAGCACTCCCAGATAGTGGCCTCCGCGGTGTTTGGAAGAATTTACCTGAGTCCTACAACTCAAATGTAGAAATGGCATAGGAGTAATTTTGAGCTCTTGTAGAAACCTCGCTCCTTACACTCTAAAGCCTGTGCAAATCTCCAAGTGCAAATCCTGTATCTTCTCCTTCCCCAGACCCTAGGAGGAGTGGCCTGGTGGAGCTGACCCTGCAGGTTGGTGTTGGGCAGCTGACAGAGCAGCGGAAGGACACCCTGGTGAGGCAGCTGGCTGTGTTGCTGAACGTGCTGGACTCGGACATTAAGGTCCAGAAGATTCGGGCCCATTCGGATCTCAGGTAGGAGCTGCACACCCAAGGCGGGGCCTTGGCCCTACAAAATTCAGTTCTTACCTCATCCCAGTCCACTAGAAAACTGTTCATTCCTCTGCTTCTGTAGTTTTGCACACACTTTTATCCCATTCATATACTTTTTTTTCTCAAAGGGCAGTAGTATGGCCAGCATTGTGCTAGGTCCTTCCTAAAATTCTCAGTAAATGTTTGTTAACTGGGAATGTTCTGAGTGAAGGAGGAGCTGGGGAACAGCAAGGGAGATGGTTGTTAGTCTGGTGTCTTCAGAGCTGGGCAAGGGGTCTGGGGCATGTGAAGAGGATGTCTCACAGCTGGGCTGCATCCCTGCCCCACGCTCATGGGGACTGAGGCTTCTCTCAATGTGAAAGGATCACTGATTACCATTTGCCATCTCCTGGGACTATATGAGGCTGAAACTCTGGCCTTTATTTTTTATGAAATTTTTGTATTTAATTGAATTTCATTTATTGAATTTATTTATTATTTAATTTAGTTTTTATTTTTTGAGATAGGGTCTCATTCTGTTGCCCAGGCTGGAGAGCAGTGGCGCAGTCTCAGCTTACTGTAACCTCCGCCTTTCAGATTCAAGTGATTATCCTGCCTCAGCCACCTGAGTAGCTGGGACTACAGGTGACCAGCACGACACCTGGCTAATTTCTGTATTTTTAGTAGAGGCAGGGTTTCAGCATGTTGGCCAGGTCTCAAACTCCTGGCCTCAAGTGATTTGCCCGTCTAGGCCTCCCTAAGTGCTGGAATTACAGATGTAAGCCTGAGTTTTATTTTTAAGTCTTATCTAACCCAGGGTGTGGTAGGAGGAGGGACAGAAAGAATGTGGGAATGAAAACCCACTATTCACAGTAACTCCATTTGCCTAGCTATTGTCAGCTCCTCCATTTTGGTTAGTTTCCAGAGAACTGAAGAATAGAAAAATACCAAATTAAAACATGTTCTAATTATTTTCTAAGGAACTCTTTCTAAAATGGATCATATATTTCCCTTGGAAAATATCAAATACTGAATCAAAGACATGTCTGAAAATCAACAAAACCAAAAGTTGTTTCTTGGACAGATCAGCGAAATTGATAAATCTTTAGCTAGATTGACTAAGAAAAAATAGAGAAGACTCATATTACTAAAATTAGGAATGAAATAAGGCACATTACTATGGACTTTATAGAAATAAAAATGGCTGGGTGCAGTGGCTCACGCCTGTAATCCCAACACTTTGGGAAGCCGAGGCAGGCAGATCACTTGAACCCAGGAGTTCGAGACCAATCTGGGCAATGGCAAAACCCTATCTCCACAAAAAACTAGCTAGGTGGCCAGGCGCGGTGGCTCACGCCTGTGATCCCAGCACTGCAGCACTTTGGGAGGCCGAGGTGGGCAGATTACTTGAGGTCAGGAGTTCAAGACCAGCCTGGCCAATATGGCGAAATGCTGTCTCTACTGAAAATACAAAAATTAGCCAGGCATGGTGGCAGGTGCCTGTAATTCCAGCTACTCAGGAAGCTGAGGCAGGAGAATTGCTTGAACCTGGGAGGCATAGGTTGCAGTGAGCTGAGATCGCTCCATTGCACTCCAGCCTGGGTGACAATTGCACTCCAGCCTGGGTGACAGAGCAAGACTCCATCTCAAAAAAAAAAAGCCAGATGTGGTGGCACATGCCTGTGATCCCCAGCTACCCAGAAGACTGAGGTGAGAGGATCACCTGGGAGGTTGAGGCTGCTGTGAGCCATGTTCACACCATTGCATTCCAATATGGGCAACAGAATGAGACCGCCTCCAAAAAAGGTGGGTGAGGAAGGATTATAAGAAAATACTATGGATCATTGTATGTCAACAAATTAGATAATGTAGATGAAATGGACAAATTCCTAGACAGACATAAATTATAAAAACTCAATTGAGAAAAACTTAAAAATCTAAATAGACCTATAACAAAGAGATTGAATTAGTAATGTTAAAACTTTCCACAAAACTCAAGACCAGATGGCTTCACTGGTTAATTCTGCAAAATATTTAAAAAATTAACAGTCCTTCACAAACTTCCAAAAAATAGAAGAGGAGTGAACATTTCCCAACTCATTCAGTGAGACCAGTTTTACCTTGACACTAAAATCAGACAAAGACATCACAAGAAATGAGAACTACAGACCAATATCTCTTGTGAATATAGAAGCAAAACTCTACAACAAAATACTATCAAACTGAATCCAGCAACTTTTTACAAAGTTTGTAGACCATAACCAAGTGGGATTTATCCTAGGAATGCAAGTGTGGTTCAACATATAAAAATCAATAAATGTATAATAAACCACATTAATAGGATAAAGGACAAAACTGCAGAATCACCTCAATAGGCACAAAAAAGCATTTGACAAAATCCAACACCCTTTCATGATAAAATATTTGCTGTGGGTTGAATTATATCCACTCCCGACTCCCCACCAAAATTTAGTCAGGTCCTAAGCTCTGGTACCTATGAATGTGACCTTACTTAGAAATAGGGTCATTACAGTTATAATTAGTTAAGAAGTTATTCTGGAGTAGGGTGGGCTCTTAAACCAGTATGACCAGTGTTCTTCTAAGAAAAGAACAAGAGACACAGAGAGAGGCACACAGGAAGAACACCATGTAACGACTGAGGCAGGCACTGGAGTGATTCCTCCACAAGCCAAGGAATACCAAGGATTTCCGGCAGCACCAGAGCTAACAGAACACTTTGATTTTGGACTTCTAGCCTCTAGAACTCTGAGAAGAGGTTTCTGTTGTTTTAAGCCGCTTCATGGGATGTGTTTTACAGCAACCCTAGGAGATGAAGACAGATTGGAGTAGCTATTTCTCCAAAGAAGATATACAGATGGACAATAAGCACATGATAGGGTGCTCACCATTAGCCACCAGGGAAATGCCAACCAAAACCACGTTGAGATATCACTTCACACCCACTAGGATGGCTAGAATCCAAGACAGACCATAGCAAGTGTTGATGCGCCTGTGGAGAAACTGGAATGCTTATACATTGCTGGTGGGGATATAAAATGGTACAGCCACGGTGGAATACAGTTTGGCAGTTCCTCAATATGCTAAGCATACAGCTACCATATAACCCACTAATTCCACTCCTAGGTATATACTCAATAAAAATGAAAAACTTGTGTCTACATAGAAACTTGTATATGAATGTTCATAGCATGAATTCATAATAGCCAAAATGTGGAAGCAACTCAAATGTCCACCAACTGATGGGTGGATACAAACTATGATATATTCATACAACAGAATATCATTTGGCAATAAAAAGGAATGAAGTATTGATGTGGGCTACAATGTGGATGAACTTTGAAAACATGATGCTAAGTGAAAGAAACCAGACACAGAAGGTCACATATTGTATGATTCCATCTACCTGAAGTGTTCAGAAGAGGCAAATCCATAGAGACCAAAAGCAGATTAGTGGTTGCCAGGGACTGTGGGGAGGAGGTGCTAATGAGTATGGATTGTCCTTCTGGGGTGATGAAGATGTTTTGAAATTAGATAGTGGTGATGGTTGTGCAACTTTGTGAATATACTAAAAGCCATTCAATTTACACTTTAGAAGGATGAATTTTATGATATGTAAATTATATCTCAATCAAAAAAGGCAGAAAGAAAGACATGTCTGCAAGTTATTTTGTGTATATTTGTCTTTTTGCACACATATATATATATATTGCTCCCTTTTTTTTAACTTACTATTATGGATTTATTGCAAAGAATATATTAAAGGATACAAATGAACAGTCAGATGAAAAGGTACATAGGGCAAAATCTAGAAGGGTCCTGCATACAGGAGCTTCCATCCCCATGGAGTTTGGGATGTAACACTTCATACATCCCAGCACATAGATGCATTCTTGTTCACTAACCTGATAGCCCTCCAGACCCACTTGGTTAAGATTTTCAAAAACTGATACATAATTTACACGTTGCTCCTTTTATCTGAAGATCTGTCTGTCTTTGATCAGCTGTACGTTGAGACTGAAGAGGATTTGTGAATAGAAACAGATCAATTCTTTGGCTCACAGATATGCCCCGTCCTTGGCAAGCCACAGAACTGTGGTCGTCTACCTCCCCAGTTGCACAGGTCAGACGCTGTGGTGGGCGTGTCATGTCAGTCACCGTCTGACCATGTGGCTGTCCTCTCTCATTGTCTCCTCTGCAGCACCGTGATTGTGTTTTATGTACAGAGCGGGCCGCCTTTCAAGGTTCTCAAAGCTGCTGAAGTGGCCCGAAATCTGCACACGCGACTCTCAAAGGAGAAGGCTGACTTCTTGCTTTTCAAGGTCTTGAGGGTTGATACAGCAGGTAGGTCCCCTGTGGAATATTCTAAAACAATCAGACTTGCCAATCATGGATAAGTGTGACAAACACAGAAGAGGAGTGACATGTGAACATTTTCACTTTAGCATCCAGGTACTTGTTTTGCATTTATTTCTCCAATAGGGTTTCCTGCAACATACATTTGCCAACTACTCTTGGTCTTGGAAGAAAAGTGGAGAGCAATAATAATTATGGGTCAAGGTTATGCTCACAAGATAATGGCCATTGGCAGAAAGAACAATGTTAAAGACAAATAAGTGTTACTGGCTGCAAAAACTATGTTTATATAGTTTATTTCACTTGGACATCATGGAAAGACATCATGCCTTAGGTTGTGATGATAATGTCATGTAGCTCCTTGAAAATATAAGACAGCTCACAAATGCCTTCTCCAGGTGTACCTCTTTTCTTAACTCCTTGCTCGCCTCCCCTTCCAGGGCACCTGAATGATTCATAGTCCCATTGCTTCTGTCTTCATTTCATGAGTAACATGAATCTCTTGTTATATTGAAGTAGTTATTTCAGTAGACTCCAGGGAAATGAGAGTTACAGGGGACATGATAATGTTTGGGCAGTCAAATTTAATTTGTTTCATATATATATATATATATAAAAATCTGCCTACAATTGACTTTCTCAATTATAATATGGAGTAACTTAATTTTTAATAACTCCTTTTTTCTTTTTTCATTTTTTGGTATTTTTAGTAGAGATGGGGTCTTGCCATGTTGGCCAGGCTGGTCTCAAACTCCTGGCCTCAAGTGATCCGCCCACCTCAGCTTCCCAAAGTGCTGGAATTACAGGCATGAGCCACCATGCCCAGCCAATAACCCCTTTTTTTTCTAGTTACAAAAATAATATTTATTTATTGTACAAAATTTAGAATATCCAGAGAGGCACAAAGAATAAAATAATTCTCTAAATTCTAGGTCCAAAATTCTCACCATCCAAAGATAATTTTTGTTAATACTCTGATAGATGTTTTTCCAGTTCCCCTATCTCTGCAATCAGGATGACATGATATATATTTTTAATCTGATTTTCCACTTCAAATCGTATTATGAGCCAGGAACAGTAGCACATTCCTGTAATCCCAGCTACTCCAGATGCTGAGGAGGGAAGATGTCTTGAGGCTAAGAGTTTGAGGCCAGCCTCGGCAACACAGCAACAAGACCTTGTCTCTTAAAAAAAAATTATATTATGATTATGTTCCCCAATCCTTTAAAATTTCTCTTCAATAAAATTTTTATGGCCACATAGTATTCTACCCTGGATATGCACCATAATTATGTAACCAGTTTCTTATTCATGGATTTTAGGGTTGGTTTTAAAAATAATGCTACAATGTAGATAAATCTTTGGGCATGTCCTCAATGATTGCCACTGCACTCCAGATAAATCCTTAGAATTATTTTCTTAGGCCAGACAGTGTTATGTTTTTGCTACTTTTTTGAGTCTCGTTCTGTTGCCCAGGCTGTAGTGCAGTGGTGTGATCTTGGTTCACTGCAACCTCTGCCTCCTGGGTTCAAGTGATTCTCGTGCCTCAGCCTCCCAAGTAGCTGGCATTACGGGTGCACACCATCACACCCAGCTAATTTATGCTAATCTGTTGTATTTTCAGTAGAGATGGAGTTTCCCTATGCTTGGCCAGGCTGGTCTCAAACTCCTGGCCTCAAGTGATCCACTCGCCTTGGCTTCCCAAAGTGCTGGGATTGCAGGCGTGAGCCACCACACCTAGCCAGTAATCTTTTCTTTTTCTTTTTTTTTGAGACGAGTCTCGCTCTGTCACCCACGGCTGGAGTGCGGTGGCGGCGATCTCAGCTCACTGCAAGCTCCGCCTCCCCGGTTCATGCCATTCTTCTGCCTCAGCCTCCAAGTAGCTGAAACTACAGGTGCCCGCCACCACACCCGGCCTCATTTTTTGTATTTTTAATAGAGACGGGGTTCACCGTGTTAGTCCAGGATGGTCTCGATCACCTGACCTCGTGATCTGCCCCGTCTCAGCCTCCCCCAAAGTGCTGGGATTACAGGCTTGAGCCACCCGCGCGGCTTTTTTTTTTTTTTTTTTTTTTTGCGACGAAGTCTTGCTCTGCCACCAGGCAGAGTGCAGTGGTGCGATCTCAGCTCACTGCAACCTCTGACTCCCTGGTTCAAGTGATTCTCCTGCTTTAGCCTCCCTGAGTAGCTGGGACTACAGGTACGAGCCACCATGCCCCAGCTAATTTTTGGTATTTTAATAGTAGAAGACAGGGTTTCACCCATGTTGGCCAGGATGGTCTCATCTCCTGACCTTGTGACCTGCCCACCTTGGCCCTCCCAAAATTTTTAAGGCTTTTGCTGCATGGTGTGGACTGGCTTTTCTGCTATTTCTCTGATGAGATTGCCAGTGATGAAGAAACTATCTCCAGAACCCCTGTCCCATACTGTAAGAGGCTCTCTTAATTCAACAAGATGCATTTATTTGGGACCCTATGCCACTGAAAGATACACAAAGAAGCTGGATCCAAGGGATTCCCTTTTCCCGCATGCTGACCTCAGCCCTACACACCTCTTTTGCCAAGGTTTGCCCTTCTGAAATGTTCTGGCCATGGCCACTGTGACCCTCACGAAACGCCTGCATTTTGCCTCTCAGCTATGGATGGGAGACCCCATCATAGCAGCGTTATATCTGGGATGGAGAGAGCAACTGGGTGAAGTTCTGGGCATAGAGGAGGCTTTGGGTGAAGGACTTTTAGCAGCTGCATTCTCAGTTATCAGAAATATCTGCCCAATATTCGAGACCAACCTGGGCAACATGGTGAGACTTCACCTTTACAAAAAATAACAAAATAAGCCAGGCATGGTGATACACGCCTGTAGTCTCTGCTACTCAGGAGGCTGAGGTGGGAGGATTGCTTGAGAGGAGATCCAAACCAGCCTGGACAATATAGTATGACCCTGTCTTAAAAAATTAACTGGGTGTGGTTGCGTGTGCCTGTGGTCCCAGCAACTCAGGAGGATGAGGTGGGAAAATTGCTTGAGCCCAGGAAGTCAAGCCTGCAGTGAGTGGACAGAGTGAGACCCTGTCTCAAAAAAAAAAATGGAAGAAAGGAAGAAGGGAGGGGAGAGGACAGGAAGGGAGGGGAGAGGAGGGGAAGGGAGGGGAGAGGAGGGGAAGGGAGGGGAGAGGAGGGAAAGGGAGGGGAGAGGAGGGGAAGGGAGGGGAGAGGAGGGGAAGGTAAGGGAGGGGAGGGAAGTGAGGGAAAGAGGGAAAGAAAAGAAAAGAGAGAAAAAAAGAACTATCTGTCCAGCTTTGCAGTTATAAACATTCGGTTCTTTTGTCACCTGAAGCCAAGTGAACCAGCTCACTTGGTAGTGAGTTAATACCCTTCTTACAATCTACTTTTTGGGGTGTGTTTAGGCTTTTACATAAAACTTCCTGATGAGAAAATCCCCTTTGGCAGAGCAGAATTGGCTCACTATTGCTGACATTTCTAAGAAAGAATTGCTTGGGCCATGGGCTGCAGTTCCAGGTTACACCTGCCTTGCTTAGGCTCAGTGTGATTTTCTGGTGAAGTGGCCCCTGGTGTGGATCTTCTAGAATCAGGTAAAGAAGAGAATTTGGCCCACTCTTCCCGCTGTTCACACAGGCAGGCACCAAAAACTGGAGCCATAGCAGAGCAAGCTGGCGCCCCTGAGGTCCCTTCTGAGGAGAAAACTGTATTTTAATGGCAGTCTACTAAGTAAATTTGTCGTTTGGGGAACCAGATGGACATAATTGGCACCGAAGATAGTAAGAGCTGACTGCCAAAGTATATTCCCATTTAATACTATTAAAAAATCAGAAAATAGCCAGCCCTTGGATCATTATTCCAATGAAATTATATAACATTTAATAAAGTTAAACTTTTTTTTTTTTTTTTTGAGATGGAGTCTTGCTCTGTCACCTAGGCTGGAGTACAGTAGCACAATCTCAGCTCACTGCAACCTCTACCTCCTGAGTTCAAGCAATTCTCCTGCCTCAGCCTCCCAAGTAGCTGGTATTACAGGTGTGTGCCATCATGTCCAGCTAATTTTTATATTTTTAGTAGACACGGGGTTTTGCCATGTTGGTCAGGCTGGCCTCAAACTCCTGACCTCAAGTCATCTGCCCGTCTTGGCCTCCCAAAGTGTTGGGATTACAGGCGTGAGCCATTGCACCCAGCCTAATAGAGTTAAACTTTGCTCCCTAGTAGACTTAAACTGGGCTTCTCTGTCTCTGAATTACTGTTGAACGCTTTTCACATTAGATTTCTGTAAGGATGTGGACGCAACAAGGGTCAAGTAGTTTCCGAATTGCTCTCTGGCTGTGAAAAATGTCTTCATGCCATAAACAGACATACAGATGTTTTATTAAAACCAAGCCGGAACTTTCAGGGGTGGGGGTTGTGATTTTTGGCATTCTGGAATGAATATTTTGATGTGGTATACATGTGTGTTTATATAAGAGGCATTACTACTACGTAATTGACTAATTTTAGTTATTTCTGATTATTCTGTTCCCAAGTTAGCATGAAATATGTACTCCGTGAAGCCCTGAAACCCAGTAGATAAAAACAGGGCAGTTTTAGGTTGTTCTCGATTTATCTGTATTTTACCTTGCTCTGCTCTGCTACTAGCCTGATGAGATGTTATCAACTCCACAGGTGGCCTTTACTTGTAGGGATTTAGAAATATTTGTTATGAATCATCAAAATAAAGTTGTTCTACAAATAGTCTATAACTGTGTCCACTTTGGTTTTCTTGTGTTTCAGAGTGGAGTATATTCTATGTGACAGTGCTGGGTTTTACTCTTACTGTGCTAACAGGAGGTTTCACTTGGCTTTGCATCTGCTGCTACAAAAGGTACCTAGAGTGCTTATTCATGTGAAATAGAGACCCTACACTAGGTGTGTTTTGACAGCTTAGGAATTGTTTACTTGGGCTTGGTAAACTGCTAAGCTGTTTATTATAATAATGCACTTTCTGCCACAAAGCATAAGTGCCTAAATAAATGGAATATTAGAGGCAGCATTTTCTCATTGAAGCTCTTGTGTTTTCTAGGAGGGTCAATGATTCTATATCATATCTAATGTCTTATATTATATATATATCTTATATATATAATATATATAAGATATAATAATATATCTTATATAAAAAAATATATATCTTATATATATAATATATATATAATTATATATAATGTCTTATCTTATATATATCGGTCTTATATTATATTCACTAGAGCGGTACTGTTTTCTCACTCAACCACAATCAACACAGAAGACTTCTGTGACCAGTGTTTGGGAGTTTCTCTGCACACACCATTCAAGCAACAGTTTTGCAGTGGACACCAGCTGGGTGTCCTCCAATTCAGTTTTGATGCTGTCTACCTGGAGATAGCGTCACATCCCACGGTTAATTAAGGACTCAGTCCCCAAGACTGCCCCCCACCCCATTCAGATGCCAGTTGCATACCCCAGGTGGTTTTACCTGGGCTTCTGACTGACTATAAAATGGGTCCCTCAGTTCCCTCTTTGGGTTCAGTTATTTTGCTAGGGTGGCTCAAAGAACTCAAGGAAACACATTGGTTATTTATTACAAAGGATATTACAAGGGAAACTGATGAAGAGATGCATAGGGTGAGGTATGGGGAAGGGGCCTAGAGCTTCCATGCGCTCTCTGGGCATGCCACTGTCTGGGGACCTCCACGTGTTTGGCTGTCCAGAGGCTCTCTGAACCCTGTCGTCTTGGGCCTTTTATGAAGAGTTTATTGGATATTTATAGAAAAGTAGTTGGACAAAAAGGGTATGATGTGATGCTAACAGGCTGTGGGGAAGCCCAGCAAGGGCTGTCCAGATTCTTCTCGGCCTCTCTGTGAAGCACTCCATCCTCCTGGGTAGGAGGCAGAACTCTTTCTGAAATGAGCGTTTTATGACCTGTAATCAGACAAAGTAGGTCAGAGAATGTCTTTACAGCCGGCTCCAAGACAGAAAGGCAGGGGAAGGTTCTTGCTTTGGGGAGAATAAAGAGCAGGTGAAAGGAAGGCAGGAGAAGGTCAGAGAGAGGGACATTCTGTTTTCTGAGGCCTAAAGTGCCCCAGCATTGTAACAAGGGCCGTGGGAGTTATTAGCCAGGAACCGTGATGAAAACATGCATACAGATGTGTATATATATATATATATATATATATATATCTCACAAGTAGCTAAGTGGCCTTACAGGTCTCAGTAGAGGAAGGAGTTCTGGAAGTATACCGTTCCAAATGGTAGATTTTGATTATTTTCATTATGTAAAGCAATAATCTAATCCACCTGAATTGTTTTAAATAACTTTGAAACTGTAAGTGAGGCAATAACACCGCCAAAGAGAACTTTTGCTTTAGGTGTTTCCTTTTTCCATGGAGCTGACCTCTGAGAAGCCTCAAGCAACCTCATTGGCCAAACCTTCCAGAACCCCATGCTCAACCCTCTGTCCTGGAAGAGAGCATCAGGCCCCCTCTTTCATGTGAAACACTGTAACTGCTCTCAAAAGGTGTGATTTTTAAAAAACGTATATTTTAATCTGGGCAACGTGGCTCACGCCTATAACCTCAGCACTTTGGGAGGCCAAGGTGGGTGGATGACTTGAGGTCAGGAGTTTGAGACCAACCTGGCCAACATGGAGAAACCTTGTCTCTACTAAGAATACAAAATTAGCCAAGCGTGGTGGCGCATGCCTGTAATCCCAGCTACCTGAGACAGGAGAATCGATTGAACCTGGAAGGCAGAGGTTGCAGTGAGCTGAGATCGCACCATTGCACTCCCGCCTGGGTGACAAAAGCAAAACTCCGTCTAAAAAAATAAACTATATTTTAATAGTTATTTTTCAGAAATCACTTATAGATTATTTTAGTTTTGTGATTACGTTCCCAAAATTAAGACTGGTGAAAGGGAGCCAGGTGCAGGCACTTAGAGGCCTAAATCCCGTTAAGTTTTCCCAGAGCCATATGTGACCCTACTGTGCATGGCATTAAACATCTTCAGCTTTGTGACATGTCTATCAAGTAGAAGATGATGATGCTAGTAGTGGTAACTGTGAACATGTATGAAGTATTTGCCTTTGTGATTATAGGCTAAGTGTTTTGTGTGTATTATCTTACCCAGTCCTCTCATCAACCATGTGAGATAGGGACTATTCTTACTCCTATTTTACAGGTGAGGACATGGAGGCACAAAAGTCTCAAATAATTTTCTCTAAATCACCAGCTAGTAAGTGCTAAATTGAGACCCATGCTTCTGATCATCATGCTCTCAGAAAATTGCTTTTATGCTGTGAAATTACTATTTTGTTCTCTACATGCGTTCACGTGGTCTGGGTGTGTATTTCCAAATAATCTCTGTACACAGGATGAGGCACATGAGACCAGCCTAATTTTCATGTGTTGAGGGGGAAAAAAAAGAACAAGATGGGGAGCAGCTGTTGCTAATTAATTGTGGGAATATATGATAATTTTTGCTATTTTTTTCTGATTGCTAGTTCATGATACCTTTTCATTACTGCAGCATTGGACATTGCAGGGTGGTATAGGTTTAGGGGAACATTTGCTCATCCAGGCTCTTCTGAATAAGGAATTACTCATGAAGAACAGCTCCCTGGGCCAACACACAGGTGTTGAGAATTGCACTGAAGGTCCCTGGCACTGCAGCCTGAGGCTTAGCTGAGACCTGTCGATAGGTGGGCAAGAGTGATGTGGCTGTTTATACCCCGAAATGGGTTTCTCCAAGATGCATAATGCCCCTCTGAGCTCTGACCTGGCCTTGCGTATGTTTCTTTAATAAAAGATGCCAACTATCACATCATAAAGGCAAAATGTTTCCTTTAGTGTCTTTACTCTGCGTTAAATCCTAGATCTCAGTTACCTTTCTAAAGATCTGAGTTGAGTTTTCATTGTTCCTTTCAGACAAAAAAGGACTAAAATCAGGAAAAAAACAAAGTACACCATCCTGGATAACATGGATGAACAGGAAAGAATGGAACTGAGGCCCAAATATGGTAAGACAGTCTCCAGAATGACTGCCTGGCACCTTTCCTTGATTTACCCTAGGTATGCCTGAGGGCTAACTTGGATCAAGGGAGAATGATCCGCTGGAGTCAGCACTTTAATTGGGAAGGAAGAGTAAGGCTGGGATTCTGTGATGACAACCAACCTTCAGGCCCGGCACGGTGGCTCACGCCTGTAATCCCAGCACTTTGAGAGGCCGAGGCAGATGGATCGCCCGAGCTCAGTAGTTCGAGACCACCCTGGGCAACATGGTGAAACCATCTCTACTGAAAAAATACTGAAAAAAAAAAAAAAAAAAGCCGGGCATGGTGGTGTGCGCCTGTAGTCCCAGCTATTCGGGAGGCTGAGGCAGGAGAATTGCTTGAGGCTGGGAGGTGGAGGTTACGGTGAGCTGAGATTGCACCTCTGCACTCCAGCTTGGGCTACAGACTGAGACTCTGTCTCAAGAAAGAAAAAGAAAAATAACCTTCATCAACCCTGATGATGTGCTAATGCGGGGGTGGGGCAGGAGGCAATAGGTTCATTATAAATTTAATGAAATTTTGGCATAATACTTTGAGGCATTAATGGATGAGGGATATGAAATGTTATCAGCTGGGCACCTACCAATGACCACAGGGCAAAGACTGCTTTTTAACTAGAGGTGTCCCCAGCATCTGCTTTTTTTCCTACTCCTAGTTGGAGGGTGGGGGGCAGTTGAAGATACTCCCTCAGCTCAGCTCTGAATGCTGTTCCCTTCAGGTCTGCTAGGACAGAAATGCAGCAAGAGGACATTTGGACTTTAAAGCCTAACATTTTTCAGCAGCTGTATTATCTAATTAGCCATTGATATAGATGGACACAAAGGCTTTACAGAAAATTGACTTTCTTCACAAAGTGTATTGATCCCTATGCTTAGGAGCACCACTTGCCCACCTCGGTTAACTTTTTCATTCTCGTTTATTAACTGTTGCATACTTAGTGAAACTTCTCTGGCCCTCTGAGGCTGCTAAACACCAATTCTATAGGTTTTCCATAATTCTGGGCTTATGACTAAGTTACTTTTTATGGAAGATGTAATCTTTTTCAGAGTTTTGAGGTGCAAAACACTGTTCACAGTGAGTGTTGAATGCCTACCCTGTGCACAGGCACCGGGTTAGGCCCTGGAGACTGGGAGAGGAGGAAGCACAGAGCCTGCCTTTACAGGAGCTTGCAGCCTGCGGGAGGATAATTATACTGGAGCGCAAGGAGTTCTACCAATGCATGGATGAAGCCGGGTAGGAACACTCAGGTCAGAACGACTGATCGTGTACAGAGAGTGTAACTAACAGGGCTTTGGCAGGAAGAGCCTCACAGGAAGAACAAATAGTAGCATACATTGAGTGCTCACCATCTGCCTTGCATATCAGAAGTATTATAGTGACTTTTACCTAAGAGCTCAGTGTGCTTTAGGTTGCATTATCTCACCCACCTTTGTCTTAAAATACACTCATCCTTCTGACATTCCTGTTTCTATTCATAGAACCCCCATTCTCATTGCCCCAGTTTGAAACCTCAGTCGCTGGTGCTCCACACACACTGCCCCCCATTCCAGACACCCGCACCTTGCTAGACTCTTGCCCTCTTTCCTCATCATTATTATCACCACCCCAGTTCAGGTCCTTACAGTTTCACTTGTGAACTAATAGTAATAATAATAATAATTAACAGGTATTTAATGTCAAATATATACTAAACACATCTGAAGTCCTTTACCCATTGAATTCTAATCCTACCCGTAGCTGTATGAGGTATGTGCAATGATTATCCCCATTTTACACAAGAGGAAACTGAGGCAAAGGAAAGTTTAGCAACTTGCCCAAGTAACATAGCTGGTGAGTGCTGAAGGTGGGGTGTAGGCCGGGCTCTTCCTCTACATTGCACTGCCTCTGCCTTGGTCCGTTTGGGCTGCTCTAACAAAATGCTGCAGACAAGGAGGTGTATGAACAACAGATACTTATTACCCACAGTTCTGGAGGCTGGGAAGGTGAATTCAGCATCTGGGCAGGGCTACTTCCTCATAGTTGGTGCCTCCTCGCTGCATCCTCACATGGTGTAAAGGGCACGGCAGCCTCTGATGCTTCTTTTTTTTTTTTTTTTTTTTGGAGAGACAGTCTCGCTCTATCCCCCAGACTGGAATGCAGTGGCACAATCTCAGCTCACTGCAACCTATGCCTCACAGGTTCAAGCAATTCTCATGCCTCAGCCTCCCAAGTAGCTGGGATTACAGGCATCTGCCACCATGCCCAGCTAATCTTTTTTGTATTTTTAGTAGAGACAGGGTTTCTTCATGTCGGCCAGGCTGGTCTCAAACTCCTGACCTCAAGTGATCCACCCGCCTTGGCTTCTCAAAGTGCTGAGATTACAAGTGTGGGCCACCGTGCCTGGCCTCTGGTGCCTCTTTTGTGTGAGCACTAATCCCATTCGATCACCACCCAAAGGCCTCACCTCTTGGTACTACCATTTAGGCGTTAGATTTCAACACATGAATTTGTGGGGGTGCAAACATTCAGACCACAGCAGCCTCTATGTCTACTGTCCATCTTCCATCCTGCACGCTGTGGTTTTATTAATATCTCAGAACAACATTTTAACAGTGTCATTTCTCTGCTTATCGGATAAAATCCAAACTTCATGGTTTACTTTGTATTCATGTGCTTTTCTATGAGGTTCCTGCCTCTCTCTCTCCAGCCTCTCCTTCATTATTTCCTACATGAATCATTTGCTCCAAACAAACTAGTTTTTTTCTAAATGTCCCTGGATGCTTCTGCATACTCCATGCCCTTCCGCTGTCCTCCTGTCTAAATTCTCTTCTTCAGATCTCACTGATAGAGACAGGAGACAGCCAAGGGTCCCTGGTGAAACCGCACCTCCAAGCCTAAAACAGCCTGAAGGCTGAAAAACCGGACTGCTGGTCCCCGATGAAGGCCCTGCCCTTTCCCAGCTGATTCTCTCTAAATAATGTCCACCTGCACACTGGGGAAAGGGGGTGGAGCCACAGGAGGTTCACGTCATTTGCAGTGGGGAGGAGCCTGGCCTCTTCAGTTCCTGTGTGGTAACCTGGGATTCAGTCTGTGAGGCAGGAGGTTGTTGGCATGACCCCCTCTCTATTTGCTGAGAGTTTTTGTTTCCTTTTTACCTAATAAATTCAATTTTTTTCACCCTTCTGTGTGTCCGCGAGCCTAATCTTTCCTGCTAGTGTGACAAGAGCCTGGTTTTATCCGAACTAAGGAGAAAGTTCTACAACATCACCCTATGGGAAACATCACTGAAGCAACCCCAGCCATAAGTACATGTGCTTATTTCCTAATTCATATACAATTTAAAAAATATCTTACCTGTTATGCGCCATCTTTTTATGAGTCTATCTTTTCTGTCTTTTTTTTTTTTTTTTCCTGAGACAAGGTCTTGCTCTGTCACCCAGGCTAGAACATAGCAACACGATCATAGTTCACCATACCCTCGAACTCCTGGCCTCAAGTGATCCTCCCACCTCAGCCTCCCAACGGGCTGGGATTATAGGCATGAGCCACCAGGCCCAGCCAAGTCTATGTCTTAAACCCCTAGCTAGACGCCATAAATCCTTTGAGAGTAGGAATTGAATCTTGTACCTGTTCTGTCTCTTAGGTTGACCCCCTGAAATCAAATATTCTACCAAAATGATATTAACCAAATGGTAAAATCACAGAAGCTTTCATTTGTTGGATGCTTACAATGTACTAATGGCTGGGCCAAGAGAGCGTTACATGCGCTATTTCACTTAATCCTCACCATAAACTCATGGGGTAGATGCTTTGTTATCTTCCAATTGAATAGAGGAGGAGACTGAAAGCTCAGAGAGGTTAGGTATCTTCCCCAGGGTCAAGCAGCTGGCGAGTATCAAAGCTGGGGCAAAAGCTTAGGTGAGGCATCAAAGCCCCTGCAATTACTTGCTGGGAAACCCAAACCGCCTGCTGTTTTGAGTGATTGCTTTCAAGGTGCGGAGAGCACCACTCCGTGCTCCTCACAGGACCTGCAACCAGAACGACTGACAGCTGGAAGCGAATCATGGCATTTCTCCTCAGATGCTTCTGTGCTTCTCTCTAGGTATCAAGCACCGAAGCACAGAGCACAACTCCAGCCTGATGGTATCCGAATCTGAGTTTGACAGCGACCAGGACACAATCTTCAGCCGAGAAAAGATGGAGAGAGGGAATCCAAAGGTTTCCATGAATGGTTCCATCAGAAATGGAGCTTCCTTCAGTTATTGCTCAAAGGACAGATAATGGCGCAGTCGTTTGTAAAGTGGAAGAACCCCATAGGTCCTTGAATCCAGGACCAGTCAGTGGGAGTTACAGCACAAAACCCACTCTTTTAGAATAGTTCATTGACCTCCTTCCCCAGTGGGCTAGATGTGTATCCCCACGTACTAAAAGACCGGTTTTTGAAGGCACAAAACAAAACAAAAACGTTGCTCTTTTAACTGAGATGCTTGTTAATAGAGATAAAGGCTGGGTGAAACTCTAAGGTACATACTTAAAAGAGTTTTGTGTTTTTGTAGCTGGCAGAATCTCATGTTAAAGATGAAAAACTATTTCTATCTGTAGAACCTTAGAGAAGGTGAATTAAATAAGGATTTAAAGAGGGATGGTTTCTCCCTTAGCCACTGTGATTGCCTGTAAGGAACAGCATTCTAAACATGGTTTATCTTGTAGCACCTGCAGTCAAATGGCTGTGTATGTTAAAATAGCTTATCTAAGAGGCACAGGTCGTCTTCTGTGGAGGGACGGGGAGTCTTGCGTGTAGCAAGTTTTCTGTGCTGACGGCAACACACAGTGCAAAGTCCTCCTGGTTTTCAATTCTGTGCTATGTCAACGGCAGTTTTCAGCTCTCTCAAGAGAGCAGCTGTTGGCCATTCAAGAGCTAAGGAAGAATCATATTCTAAGGACTGAGGCAATAGAAAGGGGAGGAGGAGCTTAATGCCGTGTAGGTTGAAGGTAGCTTTGTAACATTATCTTTTCTTTAAGAAAAACTACAGTGACTCCTCTGGGTGTTGTTTAGCAGTCTTGTTCTCTAATGTCAACTGAGCCCCAGTTTACATTAAATGCAATAGAAGTGATTAATTCATTAAACGTTTATTATGTTCTGTAGGCTGTGCATTTGGACTGCCATAGATAGGACAATTGTGTATATATTCCAAAACTCTGAAATACAGTCAGTCTTAACTTGGATGGCGTGGTTATGATACTCTAGTCCCCGACAGGTACTTTCCAAAATAACTTGACATAGATGTCTTCACTTCCTATGTTTAAAAATACATTTAAGTTTTTCTACCGAATAAATCTTATTTCAAACATGAAAGACAATTAAAACATTCCCACCCACAAAGCAGTACTCCAGAGCAATTAACTGGAGTTAATTGCAGCCTGCTACGTTCACTGGTTCAGGGTAGTTCCCCATCCGCCCTTGGTCCTGAAGCTGGGCCTTGGTGGCGCCCTTGGCATTCTTTGTGGGAAGATTAAAATGAGAGATAGAACCAGTGTTGTGGTATCAAGTGTAACCACACCTAAACAATATCCTGTTGCACAACGCTTTTGTAACACATGGGAAAACTAGGATTGCATTGCTGATTAAGCAGCAAGGTATTTCAACCACCAGGGCAGGAGTGCCAGAGAAAATCTTCCCCATGGGCTCCTAAAAAAAATTCAGCTTTTAGGTGCTTTTGTCATCTCCCGGAGTATTCATCCTCATGGGACCATCTTATTTTTACTTATTGTAATTTACTGGGGAAAGGCAGAACTAAAAAGTGTGTCATTTTATTTTTAAAATAATTGCTTATGCCTACACTTTCTGTATAACTAGCCAATTCAATACTGTCTATAGTGTTAGAAGGAAAATGTGATTTTTTTTTTTTTTAACCAGTATTGAGCTTCATAAGCCTAGAATCTGCCTTATCAAGTGACCAGGGTTATGGTTTTTTGCATGCAAATGTGAATGGCTGACATAGGGGACAGCAGCCCAAATGTGAAGTCGTTGGGCATAACGAGGAAGAAGGGAGTGAACATTTACCGCTTTATGTACATAACATATGCATTTTACATACTCAGTTGATCCTTATAATCAACCTTGAAGAGGAGATATTATTATTCTTATATTGCAGATAGCCCTCTGAAGGCCCAGAGAGGTTAAGTAGCTTGCCAGAGGTCACGGCCAAGATGTAGTGGATCTAAGCACTGAAAGCAAATTTTTAAAACTGTAGTGTTCTGCTTTCCACTACACAAAGAACTCCTGCCTTGATGGATGGAGGGCAAATTCTGGTGGAAATTTTGGGCCACCTGAAAGTTCTGTTCCCAGGACTAAGAAGAATTCCTTTTAATGGGTCCAGAGAGCCAAGGACAGAGGGAGAGATGGCCTGTACAGTCTCCTGTGGATCACACCCTCCCTCTAAGTTTGCAATGGACTTCTCCTGCCCCTCCTCCTCTTCTGTCCTTGGCCATCTCAGCCTGGCCTCTCTGATCCTTCCATCACAGAAGGATCTTGAATCTCTGAGAAATCAAACAGCACAGTAGGGATCGGAAAGTGGGTCCTATCTTGTTACCCCATTTCTCATCAGAACAAAGCACGAGATGGAATGACCAGCCAGCGTTCTTCATGGTGGACTGCTTATCATTGAGGGTCTTTGGGAGATAAAGCCCCCTAAGAGCTTTGGACAGAGAAAAACAGGCCCTAGAATATGGGAGTGGGTGTTTGTAGGGCTCACAGGATAACAGACATTTGAGTCGCTGGTTTACATTCCATGAAGGAGGATTCATACCCATGGCATTACAGGGCTAAGCATGTGTATGACTAAAGAACTATCTGAAAAACATGCAGCGGGGTAATAAAATGTACCACTCAACAAGCCAGTGATGCCACGCTTTGTGCGCGGGGAGGAGAGTGACTACCATTGTTTTTGTGTGACAAAGCTATCATGGACTGTTTGAATCTTGGTTTTATTGCTTAAAATGTATTATTTTTCCCTATGTGTTGACAAGGTATTTCTAATATCACACTATTAAATATATGCACTAATCTAAATAAAGGTGTCTGTATTTTCTGTAATGCTTATTTTTAGGGGGAAATTTGTTTTCTTTATGTTTGGGTGTAGAGGGATTTCCCTTGAGTATGGGTCAGCAAACTGTGGCCTGCAGCCTGTGTGTGCATGCCCCATGATCTGAAAAGCGGGTCTCAGGTTTTCAAATGGTTAAAAATAAAAAAAAAATTGAAACGTGAACTATATGAAATTCAGATTTGTGTTCATAAATAAAGTTTTATTGGAACATATCCACATTCACTCATTTATGTATTATCTATGGCTGTTCTTACGTTACCTGCAAAGCCTACACTATTTACTATCTGGCCCTTTACAGAAAGAAAAAAATTTGCAGAAGGCTGGACTAACATCCCCTGCTCTTTCCCTGTGGGAAGACAAGTGTTCGGGAAGAACTGAGCATGCTCCGTCAGCTCGCCTTCCTCTGCGTGGGTGGTTCTCTGCTATTAACAGGCAGTCTGTCCCTAGTGCCAGAAGGCCCGCAGTGTGGTGGGGTGATTAGATTCTGGAGAGAGTATACTTAACGCTACATCCTCTAATCTAGCTCTTATCAGTAATAAAGCCATTTTTAAAATGAGGGCCGGGCGTGGTAGCTCATGCCTGTAATCCCAGCACTTTGGAAGGCCAAGGCGGGTAGATCACTTGAGTCCATGAGTTTGAGACCAGTCTAGACAACATGGCCAAATCCTGTCTCAAAAAAACACACACACAAAATTTTAGCCGGTCATTGTGACGCATGCCTGTAGTTCCAGCTACTCAGGAGACTGAGGTGGGAGGATTGCTTGAGCCCTGGGTATGGAGGTTGCAGTGAGCAGAGATTGGGCCACTGCACTCCAGCCTAGGTCACAGAACAAGGCTGTCTCAGAAAAAAAAAAAAAAAAGGCAGATTGAGGTATAATTCACTTACAGCAAACTGCACATAGTACAATTTGATGCTTTGATGTGTGTGTGCATCTGTGAAACCATGACCCCAGTCAAGCTGTTGAATAAACATAATTACCCATAAAAGTTTCCTCGTGGCTCTTTGTAATCCCCCTCTCCCCTGGTAATCACTAGAGATAAGCTTGAATTTTCTGGAGTTTCATATACAGTAGTACTGTATGGGGCTTTCCCCTCAAACAAAAAGTAGTTCCTTCCTTTCCAGGCTGTTTTAACTCACTCCATTAGTAACTGTGAACAGAAGTTCTCTGAAAAGGAATTTGAAGGAAAGAGACTTTATTGCTGTGAACAGCTTCCAAATCACAGAGATACGGCCTTCTGTGTAAAACAAAGATGTGTTTCAAAAAACAAAGCAAGGGTTCTGGATTTATAGCAACATTCCAGCCAGGTTTCCAATCAGGTTCACATGTAAAGGAAGGATTGAAACTTGCTTAGTTCTGATTGGTCAGTGTAGCTGAGTTCTGGTTGGTTGATACAGAGGATGGCTGGTTGGTTGATACATCTAGGCCCTGATTGGTTAAGGCAGGTGAGCTCTGATTGATTGGTTCAGGTGAGCTCTGGAGTCCCCAGATTGAACAAAGGTGTGGGTTTTTCGGGGAACTCAGAACATGTATGTGACATCTAATTAGCAAATGCTCACTTAGGTGTTTTTTGTTTGTTTGAGACAGGGTCTTGCTCTGCCCAGGCTGGAGTGCGGTGGCACCATCATGGCTCACTGCAGCATGGACCTCCCAGGCTCAAGTGATCCTCCTGCCTCTCAGCTTCGTGAGTAGTTGGGACTTCAGGTGTGGGCTAATTTTTTGTAGAGATGTGGTGGGGGGCGGGGGGGGGGCTCTCTCTATGCTGTCCAGGCTGGTCTCACTCCTCTGAGCTAAAGTGATCCGCCTGCCTCTGCCTCCCAAAGTGCTGGAATTACTGGTGTGAGCTACAGTGCCAGGTCCCACTTAGGTCTATTTTAAATTTAGGCCCAGAGACAGATACATTGGAGTAACATTGCCTGTATCCCAAACATTTTGGAGGCTGAGGCGGGTGGGCCTTATCAAGGAAGTTCGAGGCTAGCCTTGCACATCGGCCCCTGTCGCCACTAAATAAAAAGTAGCCGAATGTGGTGACACACACATCTGTAATCCCAGCTACTCAGGAGGCTAAGCACAAGAATCACTTGAACCCAGGAGGCGGAGTTGCAGTAAATAAGATTGCACCACTGCACTCCAGCCTGGGTAAACAGAGCAAGACTGTCTCTAAATAAATAAATAAATATTCCTTTAGTTTCAGTAATGGAAGTCATCATTGTTGAAATTATAAAGATTTTGTTCCTTAGCCTCGTATTTTGCTCTTTCAGTAAACAATACAGAACTCTTACAGGATTGAAGATGATCCAGGAGCCACTTAATTAGTTTAACTACAATACCACTATTCCTATTCTCATACCTCAACAAGCATTTATCTCAGTAAAATTATGTGAACAAACATGAACTTGAAAGAGCCAATCCTTTAAGATGAATCCCCAGTGGTTAACTGGC